TATGTTTTCTTGCACATCGAAAACATCAATCTCTCAACCAAGATTCAACTTCCAAATCAGAAAGTTTCTTAACCTCTGGGCATGTATTCAGAAAATGATCCGTTGATATACATTTAGGACAGTAGCCCTTTTACTTTGGTTTGACCTTCACCTGTTGACCCTGTTGTCTGCCAGTGTAGAATGTTGATGCAGAACTTGTTTCCTTACTTTGTTGGCTAGAGACAACTGTTCGTCGAAACATTCGCTTATCAGACTTCATCGAGTCACTTTTAGGCACTGCTTGATAAGATAATTTCTTGGCCCTTGATTTTAGCTGTAACCACTGGTCAAGGTGGGTCAAATTGTATGTTGCATTAGAACCAGAATCATACAGTCCCTGTTTGATACAGTACTCTGTAAAGTTATCACGCATCCCATGTGGAAGCTTGGTGATCAGAGTTGACACATGTGAAGCACAATATAGTTCAGCTCCACTCTGCATGGATTTCAACATCCCAACCAACGACTGTATACGTAAGGTAAAGTTCTCAAAGGCATCATAATCTCCAAACCTAATTGGTGGACTGTTAGGCAAGGCACTTATCTCACTCTGAATCAGTTGTCCCGCACTACTATATGTGCGTTGCAATTCCTGCACAGCTTTTGTATAGGGAGTAGGGTGAAGGCCTCAGCAAGCTGTTTATAACCAAGTTTATCCAATAATAGTTGATACTTGTAAGTTTCAGTCAGGTGTGGATGAACATCAACTAGTGTCTCAAGTGCCATCTCCAGTAAGATAAAGTCTCGTTCCTTACCACTCTTGAATTCTGGTAGAGTAGGTTTAGGAATTCCATACACAGATGAAATCAGCATGGCATTCATTGGCAATTCAACACTGGGAACATCTGAAGCGAGTGTGGGCTGAGGTACAATGGCAGGTGATTGATTGACATGGGAATCCTTATCTGTCTAGGTGCAAACACATCAGCACTTGGACGGAGAGTGTGATTATGGTCTACATATGAATGTTCAATTTCACGCTTGATATGTCTATCAGTGGTTGGTTCACCTTGGTCACTAAACTGCATTGGGTATGTGACCTCAGTGTTAAGTTCCCTGGGATAGGATGTCTCACTCCTTTATCCTATCCATTGATGAAATTAACATTGCTTCTTTATACCTATTCTCAGCTTCTCTTAAGTTTCTTTCTTTAGCAACCTGTGACATCCTACATTCCTTTTTCTTTCTTGATAGTTCTCTCCAATATCTCTAGCCCATGTCTAGTTTTAGATGCTTCAACCTTGATATGCTTAATATGAACAGCTATATCTCTATATATCTTCTTCTAACTGCTTCTTAAGTTCATCAAGTTCATGTTTACGTTTTACTGGCTCAAGTTCAACAGTTTGCTTATCACTTAGTCTTGACAAAAGGGAAGAACTAGTAGAACGTGCACTTCCCACATTTATTTCCGATCGTGTGGTCATTATTTCATCAAGTTCATGATTCATGCCAACTACATAATCTGACAAATAGGCAGGTGGTCGTCTGCGCCTGGACGAAAACCGGACGGGGTGTCCGTCTTGCGAGCGCGACCGTGTTTCAAAGGGAAAATCATTGTCATTACTGTCAAAGTTCATAATTAGGCACTGTACTTACATATCCCTTCTCGTGGGACCATGAAAAGAAGACGAAGAAGTCCTCGGCAGTTATTCAGACCATTTAATGGCAGTTTGTTCATCCTCATAGTCATAGGTAAGGCATGGCAGTTTGTCAACACACGCACACGGACAGCACGTGGTTACATAAAAAAGTATGAACCGGGTGCATTCAACTGTTGAACCGGAGCGGAATGGCAGACAAACAAAATCACACACGACGACATGTACACAGCATCAGCAATAGGCAAACAGCCTTACTACTTGACTATATTGAACAGCATTCATTCATTACATTATGACAATAACTTTGCATTAAATCTCATTAAATGTCACAGGAACTTTGGTTCTTCAGTATACCTTAAAAGTACAGATAAATTTGATATTATGCAGTCGAATTGTTATCCCGCACGCACGCACGTACGAACTCACGCCAATTGACAAAGCAACTTGAGGGTTGGCTATCCTGGTATCAATTCAAATCTTCAAGGGTTTGCTGTTCGTTTAACTTTGAACATTGTCTTTACTCTGTGTACCTTGTATATTTCTCCATTCACTGTGCTTCGACAAGCTGGTTTGTGAAATCTCTATGATCAGCCCCCTAAGCCATGCGTCATTGTGGGTGATCTGAATCGGCACAACATTCTATGGGGAGATGTGACCACAAACAATAAAGGGAAACTACTTGAAGAATTAATTTCTGATAATAATTTATGTATCTGTAATGATGATTCAGTGGAACATACATCGTGATCACTTTCCTAACATTCTTAAAGCTGTGAACCCGAATTCTGATTCCTCTTCATCCAGATGGAATTTTACAAAGCCCAATTGGTCATTGCATGAAATATTATGTACTGCAAAATAAACCCCTGACCACTCACATATTGAAGATCCGATTCAATTGTTTTCAGATCAGCTCAATGATCCAGCTGATTAAACAAGTCCTCTGCAAATCCTCATAATCGCAAACCGTAGTTTACTAACGAATGCAAACAGGCTCGGAAGTGTACGAAGAAAGCGGAAAAGTACTTCCGCCGACATCCCAAATTACAAATGCAAAGGCCAGACGGGTTTATAAACAATATATACGTCAATGTTGGAGGAACTGTCTCCAAAATAAATTCCCGCACACCTGTGTCGCAGAGCTGGAACATGATAAAAAAAAAAACAAAGGCAAAGGATCAAAATCTTCTGTTCACCATTTTAATATTCACTGATAATATTCACTATCAGTTCCTGAAACATTTGCCTAAATCATGTCTCGAAACCCTTTTAGATATATTTGACCAAATATGGACGTCGGGGAATTTTCCTCCTTCGTGGCATACAATTATGTATCGATACAATTCAGAAATGGTCAATGGCCAATGGGTTTAAATTGTCTGAGGCCAAGACAAACTGTATCCATTTTTGTTGCAAATATAAACCGCAATAGGACCCTAAACCATGTTTGGCTGGCTTTCCTATTAAAGTTGTTAAGGATGCCAAGTTCTTGGGTATTATTTTTGATAATCCTTTTAATATATTTAAAGACTAAATGTCTGAAGGCAATTGACTTGTCGAAGTTAGTTCCATATTCAAATGGGGTGAGACATCCCTCCTTCATTTATATCGATCTCTCATCTGTTTCAAACTCGATTATGGTTCCATCATTTATGGCGGGGCATGTAAAAGCAATTTACAATTATGAGATTCCGTACATCATCAAGGCCTGCGACTTTATCTTGGAGCCTTTAGAACATCACCAATTGATAGCTTATATGTAGAGTTTGATGAGCCGTCTCTCAAACAATGTCGACCGCCTACGTGGTCTAGAGGTAGAGCGTCCGCCCGGAGAGCGGAAGGTCCGGGGTTCGATCCCCAGCCGCTTCATACCAAAAGATGTTAAAAGATGGTACTTGTCGTTACCCTGTCTGGCGCTCGGCATTAAGGGGCTAAAAAAAGGACTGGTCAGCTCGAAGTCAGTATCCTGTGTCTGAGTGGGGTATTCATGTTAAACTGCGGCATGGTATCACAGTGTGCTAGCACTATGAAGCGGCTGGGGATCGAACTAGTACAAGCAGCCACACACACACATACACGTGCATGCACGTCGCTATAAAAATGCAATAATCTTGGACGCGACGTTAAACCCCATTTCACTTCACCTAACCTCACCTCGAACAATGTCGAATTAATTTGCAAAATGTGACATTACATCCCAATCCTTCGAATCCAGCATGTAATGAAACATTATTTCCATCAAAACCAAAACTTGTTCACCATCTATCGTTCAGAATTAAGACACACATTGTCGCAGCTAATATTGATCTTTCTACTACCTTGGCAACTAGTCACACCGGAGGTAGACCTAACACTAACACTTTCAAAAGAAATAATTCTATTTGCTAAATCTTGACTTGTTTTACAATAGTGGGGTATTATTGTCAACTGAGATTAATGAAGGAGTTGCCACTCGAGGGGTTAAAGTAGTGTAAAAGTTTTGTCCCCTGACGGTGGCACGTGAGTCCATCTATATTGAAGCATTTAATATCTGCTAGTGTTTTAATTCCTTGATTGTGCTTTGATTTTTTAATATTGGTTAACATTGCATACAACTGCTCGTGACCAAAGAGATGGCATAAATCCTACTGGGAATCATGCAGGAAGCAAAAGCACTGTAAGTCCCCATGATCCCCAGTTAGTGTGTGCCAGTGGTCTGTAGCCTGGTTTTACTTTCTATTAATTGATTGAGTGAAACATTCTTTGTTTTAATATTGCTTAGGTTTGTGATATTTACCTTTCTTTGTCGTCTTGAATTTCATAATTATGAACTTGTTCTCATCGCGATATGGCTCCAATATTGCCGATGCGATGTAAAATGATAACACTCACTCATTCAAAGGCAGGATACAAGACTGAGAATTCTTGCTTTATGATTACATCCAAGTTAATTTAAATTTGATGAGATTTAGGATCGGTTTCTGTTCCATAAACGTTTTTGACCGTATGTTACACTACCAAAAACTTGGTCAAAATTGACCTTAAATTTACTTTGATAGTGTGATGGGGCAAAGATGTTGACACGTGTTTTAAAATGTCATTGTATGTATACATGTCAAGTAGTTATTACTAAAAGTATGTGGCTGGCACAAACCTTTGCGTCCGAAATGACATGTATTGTCATGCATTAGATATTTGTGAATACTTCATGAAGAGTTTAGCCTAACAACTGTGCAAATATGAGCTGGCAGTCGTTTTAGTACCGTCTTTAGCTGTTAGAATTATCCAACACTGCCTGATAGAAACTGTGCCATATACCATGGCGACATAATGTCATGTGTTTGTTATACTTGTAATTAACTCTTTCATTATTTTCAGAAAAACTGTGATGTCACAATCATCTATCACACATCTGACGATGAGAGGTTCGTGTTTTATACAAAAAACATAGGTCCTAGATTTTATTAAGATATAATCATTAACAAACGGTTAGTTGATTGGGATAGATGTGTAATTATGTTATATTACTTATGATGACCATATCAGATACATCATGTATATGTGATATGTAATCTAAGGAACTGACCAATCCGCGGATTATGCATGGCAATAGCCCCATGCCCGGGAACTTGGATTGGCAGTATTCAATGTGTAACCCCATAGTATGAACAATGACTTACAGAACTCTTTTATTGTTAAAATGATAGTATCATACAAGTCTAACTTTTAAAAACTCCGTAACATTATCGATTGGATAACTAGATTAATATTAAAATACCTCAATAAAATAATACCCCAAAATATTACAATTGATCCATGATGCATTTTTGGAAGGTATTATTGATTAAAAAAACATAAGACCTGTAAGGGAGCATTTTCAGGGCCTATAAAATAAGAAAATCTATAATTCTAAAACTGATAAACCGGTATTAATTATATATCTATGATAAATTATGCACCTACTTTCATTGTTGATGACAGAATGCATTGATACGAAGCAGGAGAACATTGTCACCATCGCTTCCCTTGTCCAAAATCGACCAACAGTGAAGCAGATAGGATCAAGCATCTGTAAAATTCACAGCCATATGATGAAAGGTAATATTGTTTCAGTTTTCATTGTGTGCCAACTAAGCTTATAGATTTCACATTGACTACTGGCGGCTAGAGTGCTTTGGATAAATGAATCCATCAATTATCCATTACCCTTAGTTTAAACATTGAAGTTAAAATACCAAACGTGATGAGGTTATTATATGGATGGGTAGATGGGTAATAGAGTCTTCATGGTGTTTACTTGAGTTGACTGAAGTCTAGAAAACACCAAGAAGTTCACAAAGTTAACGCTAATGATCTTTCATCTTGTTCTCTTAAAGATGCTACATATCCAAGTAACACCGTGCTTAACAGGTGTCTGCATCAACGTCTCCAAGAGCTTTCAAGAAATGGACTTTTCTTTGTTTCCAAGAACCTTTTCATCTGTGGAGGGTTTTCACAACAAAAGGCATCCCCTCAACCAGCTGATTCCATTCTAGATGTATGCATGATTGTTGAGAACATGCCAGTTACCATATTGACACTAGTCCAAGACAACAGTGAACATGTGGATGAAACAGATACATACTGCTTAACACTTGCGAGAGAGGTAACTGTGGGTATACGTTCATATTGTAAAGAACATGTAACCGTTTTGTATGGCGTGGTTACAGAACGGGACATCAATACCACAGATAACTTTCAGGGCTTCCTGAAGAGGCTAATAGAACAAAATCAAAAACGTTACATTCCAGAGTCTTTGAAAATGCCAAACGAAAAATGGAAATGCATTACACGAGCGTTTGCTGCATCAATTGCAATTACATCTTCTGTGTTCTGTGACAATACTGAAAGTCTTTATTTCCTGACTTATGAACAATTCTGTATACTGATCGAGAACATAGACAAGAAAGATGTTACTGTGAGAACAGCGCCATCAAGCGGTGGGAGGACACTGATCCGGGAGGTTGCCAGAAGACTGGAGATATCAGGACCGACATTACTTGTCATGGAAACAGAGGATCAGATACAGATTGCAAGGTATCCCGAAAACTTCATACATCATAAGTATCTGCTAAATAATATGATAAAATGTATTCAGGGTTGTATTTTATCCATGATGTATAATTGTAGTTCAAATTTCTGATGTATCAAAATCTTATGGTGCGCGAGGCACATCTGTCAACTAGAGTCTGGATAATATCCTGAGATTTGAAAAGTACACTGAGAAGCAAACGAAACTATGCCAATATATACTGTATTAGAACTGAAAAAATAGATTAGAATTCGAACACGAAATACTCTTGCCAAATCATTTTAGATAAACTGAAGAAACTTAGAAGATACTGGGCTACTGAAAATATTGGAAGGAAAGAACGCACTGCTTCTTGTTTCGTCCAGGAAACTGTACCATTTGGAGGTGGCGGTGTAGTGTCCAAAGCCAAACGTGGGACACACGCGATATTTTATACATACAGACTGACTTCAAACTCATCTATATTAGCTTTATAGTAACTTCAAACTGACATTTTGCCCTCATGTCCTTGTTGAACTCGTCGATCTTTTATTATAGGAACGGGGTTCGGCCGTCCCTCCCTGCGCTTCTCATTGTGGACAAATATTCTCAAAAACTAGTCAAGTTAGAGAAATAAAATGATACACACTGATGTTACTGGTCACGATCGCAAATAAGTTCGAAAATTAGTGCATACAGTGTGAAATGGGGACAACGTTTTCTCAGAAACTAATGAAGTTACATAACTGAAAGTTTACATTCTTATCTAAGAGATTCTTGTCAAGAATCCCGTAAGAGTCCCGTAAATGTTTTTTGACAGTGTAATTGCCCTTGATCCATTAAATTTTACGCCGTCGATAGTGTGAGCATTTGGGACAAGTTTTCCCAGAAACTACTGAAGTTAGCTCTTCTCAGAGACACTTATCAATACTGAGTTATTTTTTCCGAGGAGGGAATTTTTGTGTGTATTAATTTTAGATTAAATCATTTTTGTCTGATAATATAGAACGACCTTACTGCCTATTTATTCTTAAGGTTTTTTAGGACTCATTTTTAAAACTTCATACTCACTACTATATGAACCAAAAAAAAATTCTAATATGCCCCATGGCGAGGGATAGTGATAACGCTGTTTTCTTGTTTTCATTGCTACTGCACCATTGCTGTCTGTTTTGCTTATTTCAACTTTACAAATGCTACATATTTTCATATGTATGTTTTTCTTTCTCTCTCTCTTTTGGTTAATACTGATTATATTAACTTTTTTGATAAATCACCTAACGTAAAATTGTATGTATATACCTGTTATATTTACACCTGAAAAAGTGTTAAGCTCCGCCTCTGTATTTTCATATATTCTGAAATTTCATGTCTACATATGATTTTGATTTGTTTCTATCATAGCAATGATACCAAATGAAACGTTGGTATCGTGACACTGTATATTCCTCCAGATGGTATTTCGGCCATAATATGTGACATGAAGAAGGAAAGGAAGGAATTCAAAGGGTAATTCGAAATAGCTATGGAATGGTTACAAAAAATGTTGTTATGTAATGGAGTTAGGTTTCTGCATTTCAGAACCATTGTCTGATCTTTATATCATATTTGTGTTCCCTTACATCACCAGGGGGATGGACACTTGCTCTTTCACAGCTACATTAGAAGAATGGAAAAAGAAACTAGAAGCAGGGACATGGTCAATGGGTGTAATCAATATGGTGACCAACTGCCAAGACTGCCCTCCTGTGCCTGGTCTCTCTGGCAAATCATGGACATTCATCCCGGGTACTTCATGTCAAATTATGAAACAGTCAAATTATAGACACCCAAGCAACCTGCAGTACACGTTGTCACATTTCTTATACACCTAACTCACTACTTATTTGTGGTTAAACTAACCTACCAACAATGTAAGTCGTAGTCAGAATGTATAGAATTTCCATCAGGGCACGCCACCATGATTTTGGAGGATAGCCAAAAGTGGTAAAGTTTTTCAATGTTCCTCAGCTTGTGCTGACGGAAGGTGTTATAATCAACCGTTATTAACCCCCTTGTGTTTTTATGTGAAGAAGAATAAACAAGATGTGCATCTTTTGTTTTAGGCGGTGCGCCAATTCCTGAAGTTGAAAATAAAAACTCGCGAAGTGACATCCACCTAGATTCACAAACAGAGGTAATCACAATATATTTTATTTTCAACATTATACACCTGGTACAAAAAATATCCTAAAATATTATTAATTTTTAAACACTATAAATAAGATATTTTCTTCGTTTTATATTAGTATCATGATTAATTTAGTGATTTTATCAACGTTATTACAACGATATCACGACGGCCAGGGAAAGTTGAGCACAACTCAGTGGACGATAGTAAGAACATCGTTAGGTCAAGATGACACAGAGTCAGCCACAGTCTCAAGTTGTAATCAGCATGGCATACTCAGGGCCTTTTCATCGCAGAAATAGTGATGTGATGGTTTACTGATTAAGCCATACAAGTTGGACATACCCGTTGGATTCCGTTTATATTCCTTAAAGATATATATCGTTTGCCGGGTCTCATACTCGAATATATAAGTAAGGGTGTTTAACTTTGAAATTGCACAACGCTGCAAACATTTCATCAAAAGTTTGAGTGAGTGAGTGAGTTTTGGCTTTACGCAGCTTTTAGCAATATTCCAGCAATATCACGGCGGGGGACACCAGAAATGGGCTTCACATAATGTACCCATGTCGGGAATCTAACCCGGGTCTTCGGCGTGACGAGCGAACGCTTTAACCACTTGGCTACCCGACCGCCCCCGTAAAGATGTGAAGACAGTGATTAGTATGTGCTTAAATATCCCGTCAACACCTTTTTTCAAAATATATTTTACAGGTGTCGGAGGGAGTCCGCCACAAGCCAGAAGAACATTTATGGGAAACCATAAAGTCCCTTGAGAACGGTAAGCCCTATATTTTGGTTTCCGTCGTGTAGAGTCTATCTACAATTGGCCTGCTTGCTGTAAAAGGCGACTATGCTTGTCGTAAGAGGCGACTAATGGGATTGGGTGGTCAGGCTTGCTGACTTGGTTGATGCATGTCATCGAATCCCATTTCCGTGGATCGATTGTTATGATGTCAACCATTGGATTGCCTGATCCAGACTTGATTATCTACAGACCGCCGTCATATAGCTGGAATATTGCTGAGTGAGGCGTTAAACACAAACAACAACAACATCATACAGTTGTGATTTACTTGATTTCATGCATTGTTTGTATATGAACGAGCAATGCGGCGTCTACAATGCTCAGAGGGTGTACGGGTCATTAACATGCAGGAAACTGGCAGAAGTCAGAGTTTAACAGTCTGTGATTAGCAGACTATGGAACAGGTACCAACAAACCCAAAAGTCGACCATGGACCCCTTTCAGAGTGTCCCAGGTCAACGACAAGAGTGCAGGGACGATTGATTCGAAAACCAGGCTCAATCCAATTGCTGCAGACTAGCATAAGGCTATTAGAGTGCGAGTTACGATTACAACCGTCTCCATGCAGCTGGCTAGACGGCCACGTCTTACAAATCGTCATATAGCCAACAGATGTCAATGGTGTACACAACGTTGAAGCTGTTGCCAAGGGCACAATCATTAGATCCAGAACTTCATCAACGCGTTTTCCAGATGGAGTTTCCATTTTTACAGCCGAATCAACGATGATTTTAATGGCTCTAGAATATATAGTAAACAGTTTAAACATAAGGATTTCATAATGTTTTTAACTCGCTGTCCTGTCTACAGGCAATAAAAAATAATTCGTGTCAGCATCCAATTTTGTCATCTTTTGTTGGTTACCCAGCCATGTTGGAATCGTTGGTAACACAATTGCTGCTGCTAAAGCTGCACTCAACAATTCTGTGACACGTTTAATGCAATAGAGTGATTATGAGACCTACGGTATAAACAAATTGCAAGTTTATTCATTAATGAAGGCCGCATGGACCAGAGTTCATTCACAGGAATAATATAAACTATGCACATGCACAAATTTTCTTACACCAAACGTTCATCTTTTCGGGTTTTTTTGTTTGGTTTTTGGTGTGTTTTTATTTAGGTTTTTTGTGTGCATGCAGTAAAGTAACAGCACTAAAGCAAACCATCGGTTACACCTACTTGGGTTGTCAGTCAACATTTGAAGAGGTCATAACGCAACGATGACGTTTTAGCCTTTCACTTTATACTTTTGAATATTTATTTAAGGACGAAGATTTCGCATCCCTTGTGATGAAAGAATCACAGTCAAGCATGTCATGCTTATCTATGTTGATTTTTCCATCACCCCAATACGTGAATCCAACATTCTTGCATCGATACTATTGACATGCCAAGACATGCCAAGAAACCAGGCTTTAGGAAGACTACATGCTGTTGGTGACCTGGTATCGTTGCTGTAATCTGTAGATGGTTTCACGTGGACATTAAAAACATTGGCAACCATTCGTGTAGTCGTCCTAAAGCGGTATTACGTACTACTGATCCCAAAACGTCAACTTTGAAATTCTCTATCTTACACCCTATCGTCCTTTAAGATCGTCGAGACCCGTGAAGGTTCCGGGGTAGAATAGGTCTTCAGCCACCAATGCTTGCCGTAAAAGGCGACTATGCTTGTCGTAAAAGGAGACTAACGGGATCGGGTGGTCAGGCTCGCTGACTTGATTGATGCATGTCATCGATCCCAATTGCGTGGATCGATGCTCATGATATTAATCACTGGGTTGTCTGGTCCAGACTCGATTATTTACAGACCGCCGTCATATAGCTGGAATATTGCTGAGTGCGGCGTAAAACACCAAACCAACCAACCAACCTTTAAATCGTTGGCGGTCATAGCGTCTGCTGTAAAACTTCACTACTGGTTGCAATGTGTTCCCAATTCGTTCATTGTTATCATACAACTATTACTAAAAAGTTATATCTCTTACAACTTTGGTAATTTAAAGGTACTTACAAGCTTAAGTATCCCCTGTTTTTTTAAAAGCATATGTAAACTGTATTAACTTTATCAACTTGTTTCCGATCTTGCAGATTTGCACAAGTTGAAAGAGGAAAATGAAGCCTTGAGGATGGTAAACATTAAAACACACTTACCTAAACTTGTAGAGTAAGTTTAATCATAAGTGTAACATCAGGGAGCCGTAGTGGTATTATAACAATTATTATATATTTGTCTTTTCTGACGATAGCACACTACTTAATTTCTATTACCATGGAAGTAAAGTAACCGTGATGAAATCTTCTTCTCCTGACATTGATATTTATCAGATAAAGAAGGACCTCACCAGTGGTCTTGAGTCCGTATCCCTGGGTAGATTCTCTATGGACAGTGGCGTGGGCAGCAACTACAGCACGTTTAGTTCCGTTGCCAGTGGTGGCGCGAATCCAGAGCAACTGGCTTCACCGGAGAAACATATAGGAGGTCTTAAAGTGCTTAAAAACTTAAAAAAGAAGCTAACATCTGAATCATTCAAGTCAAAGAAACAAGGTAGATAGCATTAACTTCTAGACACACTTGACGCTTTGGTAATAATGGTAACGCTGTAACAGGAAATTATGGTTTTACATCCACATACTTCAATATCGTGGGCCAATGTTATAATGTTTTAAGAATAGTGTTACTCTTTCATTTATGATGCAAAGAAATATGTTTGCTGTTGCAGCTCGAAAGATCCCCGCCTACCTTCTGGACAACACAGCTGTGTACATCCTGACAAATCATGTAAATCACTCACCGATTTTTCTGATATGTAAGTCCTGTACATGTATAAGTGATACATTAATTATGTTTGCATTTTTGAAGACGTCAGCAGACGCCTTCCTAGAGGTGTACACACAATTTGTAGCACTATATTTTGTAACTTATAATTGTATATGTCCTTATTTTAAAATGCCCATATTTATAAAGACGTCATTTCTATATATATATATTAGATTCCGCGGTTATGCAGGTGTCAAATCGACTGTTTCAATCATAAGTGAGTGAGTGAGTATGATTTTACGCCGCTATTAGCAATATTCCAGCATTATCACGGCGGTGGACACCAGAAATGGGCTTCACACATTGTATCCATGTCGGGAATCAAACCCGGGTCTTCGGTGTGACGAGCAAACGCTTTAACCACTGGGCTACCCGACTGCCCCTTCAATCATAAGTGGTCATCTGATTGACCAATCAGAATCGCGTATATGGATGACAGAATACCGTTGACTCCATGTTTTGAAATTGTTAGTTCACTTGACATTTCGATTTTCGACATCTTCTCTGACAAATACCAAATACGTGTTTCAGAATATGCATGTTGATGTTTCAGGTCAAACACTGGCGATTGACCAACCCTGCTGTCACGTTACCTCGGATGATGAACACGTTGAGCTACATCAGGGTATGTGTCGCACACTTCAAACATCGTTCTCCGCAGTGCCACATGCAAATACACATACCAGGGCACAGTACTGGGAGACAGAGTCTGATATCGAACTGAAGGGGTTGGGTGTTTTGATGGAGATAGGGGTCACTGGAGCAAGCTCTGAAGAAATGTCCTCCGTGATACATAAGCAAGCCAATACTTGGAGTATAATGGTAACAGCCTGTGCCATACACTCCGGTATCTGTACACAAGTATGGTTGGAAGGGAAGCATGAACGGTGTTGTCAAGACACCATGCCTCTAGAGCAAGTTAAAAAGGTCACACTGAGGCATGGGGTAATCGTGGATGAGAATGGAACAGTAGGATTCTTTGACATAAACAGAAACTGTCTCTTGTATAAATGCCATACCCTAATTCGAGAAGATTTTTGCCAAGTGTTCGGAGTTGGTACACCCCTCTACAATAACCCAGGAAAGATGAAACTAATCCGTGGGAATATGATTGCAATCACTGATGAAAAACAGAGACTCATTTATGCTGCACTGACAAACTCTTCCGACGATTCACGTGAACAGATAAACTCTCGCTGGTTTGTTAGTTTATAGTACAACTGTTGGGCGTTAAAGAAAGCACCGTGACCAAAGGGAATAGAGACCTATCCATGTTGTGGAGACAGCTGACAATCCTTAAAATGAAAATGGAGTTCAAAGAAGATATTTAGTGAGACAATTTTAGTCATTTAATTTGCAGATTGATGTGACTTCTAACCTCAGTTTATTTCAAATTAAACGGCAATGCACTGGGACCTTTTTTAGTGCCCATGTATGTTACAGTCAATGGGAGGCAACTCAGTCTGTTATATTGCGGACAATGCTGAAAGCGATATTTTTAAAAATTGTTTGAACAGTATTTCTTAGAAGTTGGCGGATGACAAAATAGACACAATTTATGGATAACAACTGTAAATGGCGACGTTTCGGCATAGATCCTTATACTGTTGTCAATCAAGGCTGAATAATGAACATGGTACAGAATATATATAGTAGGTGGAGGATTAACAGTAACAACAATTGCATACATGAGTAGGTTAAAAATAATAACATGATTGACAGAGAATACATGACGAGGAAGCCATCTCGGACCATATCAGCAACTGCCTTAATCACAACATCAACTGGGAAAACGTCCAAATCCTCTCGAAAAACCACCATGACTTTACTATAAGAAAACTAACAGAAGCGGTCCACATTCGCCGTGACAAGCCATCAATCAACCGAGATCAAGGCTATTTCATCCCATCCGCCTACTATGAACTCCTAAAGCAAAAATCACCACTCCTATGTATACATAATCCTGTGTAATTGGCTTCCTGTTTAATTGGCTTCTGTAAATGGTTGAAATCTTTAGTGGTTGTTAGAATACCATCCTGAAAATGTTTAGTACCAACTGATCCCGATTCAGAAATTGGTCATTGTATTTGCCTAATTTTGCATACATGTCAGCATTATCGTTTACATTTAATACATAGTGAATATATATATAGTGATAAATTCATAAATAGTTTAGCTAAGATGTCAGGTATTTATTTATCCTCAGCTTTGCAAATATTTAGATGTTTTCAGCATGACTCTGTATGCTTTGGCTTTGCAGTCAAAATGTACAATGTATCCTCAAAGCTTAGCCTTGCGAATTGAAAGCAGTATCTAGGTTGCAGATTGTTCCGCCGAAGTGGGTGAATTATTGTTAAACGATGAAGTCAGCAATATTCGTGCTACTGCATTGAGGCCTGTAATAATACGAGGCGAACCAGTAACCCGAAGCATGAACATCGATCCACGCCACTGGGGTACGATAACAGGCAATCAATACAGCCACAGAGGCTGAACACCTGATCCGTATCTTAGACAGCTCTTAGAACCAGCATGATCATGAGATATTGCTGGCCTATTTGGATGCGGAATCCCTACAACCGCTAATATGGTACTAGGGCTGGTCAAAATGTTCTTATCCAAACAAACAAAACCAACAATTGTGAAAGTGTTTTTAATTTTATTTTTTACACATTTAATTACATGGCTCAATTCCACAAATAGGTAAGGCTTATTAGCATGTTTAAACATATTTTATCTTTATGTACACTTTTTGTGTAACCTTTGAGGGTTACGACATGCTTATTTAAATGTATGTCATGTTACTTGTGGAATGATGTATATGTTAGGTATATTTGTAAATATTGTTTTAATTGTGAGTATGTGGGCAAAACGTTGGTGGGAAATTATCTCCCTTGGCGTGACAGAATATGTCATGACTGACTAATTGATAAATTTGTAACAATTTACGTGTGTTGTAAGATGCCATTATACCAATATATTTTATATGTAAGCTTCGTCTGATATGTATGTATAATTGATATAATTTATGGCCGTTAATATTTTGTTGTAATTGTTTCAGGGTCATTTCTCCATTTCTTCATTTCTATATTTCTCCATCTCTAAATCTGAATAAAACCGATCACAACCCCACTGCGAGTCATGTTTCACCCTTGGCGTTTAACCAGCTATAACAGTAATACTTCTATCTGACAGAATACATTTTTCTATCTCCTTGATTGAATCTTCATTGATAGAAGTTGAGGGACACCCAGACCTAGGGTCAGCATCAAGGCTTGTTCTCCCAGTCTTATACATAACAGTTTAACAGTGGAATAGCTAGGGCACTTATCCCCATACACTTGTAACATGTGGTCATGAATTTCCGGGGGAGTACTTTTCTCTAAAATCAAAAACTTGCTGACTGCTCGGTACTTGTTCTTTTCCATTCCTGTGTCCATTTGGACCCCTATCACGTTCAACTGGCTGTCACTAATATAGAAACGGCATCAACCAACCAAATACACTTGCAATGAACTACTCAGACACTTTACTACATTGACTAGTTCCCTTTGTATGGCCAATTGTTAAAAGTTAGTCAGGCTTAGAACGTTTTTGACTCTCGTATCAATGTGGGATGTGTAACCTGACACATGGTTGGATTCGAGTTCTTAACGTAGTTATAGTGTTTCCTTTCGTCATCATTTGAAAGAAAGAAAAACAAGAAGAATAGGATAACGTATTTAATCATAAACGAAAACAAATGCAAATATTTATATGTAAGTCAAGGAAAACCAGGATAAGTAGAGTTGTGACTTGACAATTAACCCTGTCTGGCTATGTATGAGGTCCGCCCACTGGCGCGTACCTTTGTGAAGAAAGGGGTAGCGGGTGGTCCGTGACAAGAAGGATGATGGATAGGTGTGTGTCCGGTCTCGGCTATCAACGAGTTCTGGTGGCGATTTCAATAGCACATAATAGTACGTGCTGATGTGAGGTACCCGATGACTCTGACTACAGTCGAATTGTGTACAGATTAGAGAACAGCAGACTGGTCGAAATCGGCAAGTTGGGATTTGATCACTGGACGATTTCGCGACTTACTTGGGCTAATGAAACTACACTCGCCTTTATCACGAGCGTCACCACCTGCTCTGATGCGCTAGGATACGGACAGACCAGTGACAATGCTAGCTTTTGACAATGCTTGAGGTTTATGTGCACATTCTCCGTGTAATTTATGACACTATAGGCCAATTCCCGAGCCTGAGAATGTATGATTTTGCCATTTGTACCTAGCTTTGACATGTTTATTTATTTGTATTAACTTCTCTGAAAGGCCTTTCAGAGTATCCTGATATCGACTTATCACACCGACCTCTTGATAGTCTTATCAGCAATACTGTCTTCATGGAAGCGTAGTCCATTTCATAGTCATGGCACAGTGCACAACATGCCTACAACCTCTCTACCTTCAACACACCAAATACATATGCCTAACTTCTGTGCACCGTCTCAAACGCGTTGTTTTAGTTGGTTCTGATCAGAATACGGCTGTTATCGTAGGATTACCTTTTCAATGGACAACAACCAAAAGATAAATCAATCTGCAAACTACTCCTCTAAAGTTTATTGAAGGCAGTAGGTCACTGCAGGGTAAACCGCCTTTTCTACGTCCCTTTCCACCTCCTCTTCAATTATTATTGAGGTCATCATTTTGTGTTGTATTGCATTTCGATGCCGATGGGGTAGCCCAGTGGATAAAGAGTCACGCTAATGACCGGTTTGACTCCCCACATCGGTAAAATGATTGAAGCCTATTTCCAGTGTAATATTACTGGATTATTGCTAAAACCGACATGTGAAACCATTCTTATTCACTCATTATCATACAGTTTGAAACAGGATCAACAGTCCTTGTATTGGGTGTGTACTATTTACATGTTCCAGTCATGTCATGACTTAAAAATGGCCTTATCCACTGATTTGGATATCTTCTGGTATGTGTTTGTGTTCACAGCACATCTCGAACTGTCGTGTATGTGCAGTTACTGATTTTATGTCGGTATCTCGAAATATGACTGCACGTTAGAAATTGAGGGAAATATGTAAATGTGCACATATTGATCCATTTGCTCAGAAATTCGCACACTGACACAAAACGTTTCATCCCTTTGTGGTTAACATGTTATACATTGCTCAGTACTATTGATAATACTCAAATGCAAAAAAAAGATTTGTTGAATGTAAATGCTTGAAAGAAGAAAGAGATACAAAGTCGAAAGTATTACTATAAACAATGTATTAGTAGCACGACCTTCAAACAGACGTTTGTCGTTTCTTGGAAAATTAACAAACATTATTTGTGTATTTGAACTGTAAAAAGTATCTATATTTCCCCCATTACACGCTGAATCTCAAATACAAGCGCCGGATCACTTATATACGCGAAATTAATAGATGGCCTAACGTCTAATAGAGGAAATACGGTAGTTTGATGTCGGATGTTTTGGGCGTTCTTGGTCGCAACCCTGACTGCTACGTTGATGACATTACAAGATTTAAAGAAGGCATATCATTTCCATACGAATTAAATGTTATGAAACTGTTAGGGACATTCTATGGAAGAGACTATTTCCTCATTAAAACAACCGATAATAACAGTAAAAAACACATTAAAAAACATGTTTGAAGAAACTTTATTCATGAGAACATGTTGTTTACAAACCTTTTTGGGATATTCATTGCCATCCCCGTCTACCACCACCATAAGGATTTGGCCGAAGAGGATTTTAAAATCCATCAGAAAACACTCCTAGATTCTCCAGCACCCTTCCAAAGGAGAAAACAATGTCCTGACATCTCTGAAGTCAAAGCACACCTAATCATAGCAACTTATCAAACTTGATGAGATTCATTTCAGAACACACAATACATGAACCACTGTTTCTGAGCCACAACAACAATTTTCTTCACCACACTTGTGTTGAATCCGTGAAAACTGCAAATTGACAGGTCAAATCATGCAGATTCCTAGTGTCAAAATAGCCGACTTGTCCGCAGACGTAAAAGTGTCTTGTCTGCAGCCTGAAAAGCAGCTGTTCAGTCAAACTCCAGTTCCATTGGTAAACATATTGTACCAGCAGGCTGATTCCCAGTGAATCTACAGATTAATGTTGAACCACATCATAGAGCGGGGTTGTCATCCTGCTCCCTCTGCTGAGGCACAGAAAATGTAAACATTGTTAGCCATATTGAGTGTGAGTAACTGTGATGTAAGTCAAGTTCTGCCACATCCAAGTTTGGGGTGGAGAGGCGTTTATGTTTTTTTTATATATTATGTACTTGGGGTAATTGCTAACAAACTAATAAGACTTTCACATACTAAATATAAAGTAGAATGTTATTCATAAAGTTTGTTGTAGAAATATATTCGTTTAGCATTTTAAAATCTATTTCTACAACCACTCACCCATAAAATGGAAATGGCATGTTCGATTTCCAAGAAAATCCCTCCCGCGCTGGTTTCCAAGACATGACTTGGTCAGTCCAAACAGTGCACAGCAGGTTGTTAGAAATTAAAATATCTGCCATTGGACTAAGTTTGGAGGGTTATTTGTCAACTTCTATTTTTAAAACTATGTATTTTGAGCACTTATTTTGAACTACTCAAGACTGGTGTTTTTAATCTTGAACTTCAGTAATATTTGTTACATATATAACTACCTGTGACCACTTGTCGGAATGCTCTAAGATTGGGACCTTTGTACCGTGTGTTGTTACGCGTTGCAAGAGAGGACCGTTTGCAAAGCATTGTTGCCGTCATAGTAGAATGGAGATAAACATACTTTGTTTTGGAATATGATGTAGTCCCACTGTAGAGTAAATATCTCTTATTTAAATTTGGATTTCAAATGTATAAATAAGTCAATCAGGTCAATTTTTATATGACATCATGTTTGAGATGATGTCACGACTCCTGGCTGTGATGATGTCCATTACCCATAAATCATTTGAAAACGATGGAGCCGGACACCATAGAAAAATAAATAATAATCATTATAATATAATTCTTATTATTCTTATATAATTCTTATTATAATTATTATTCTTATGGGGATTCATGTCAGCAGAGGAAGAAACCAGTATCGAAACAACATAATACTGAAACGTTTTAATTAATATTAAATAAATCCAAGAAGTTCTTGTTAAGGCTCTGAATCCGAAGTGCAAAAGTGTGAAAATATTCAGGATTTTATCAACCCCGGCAAATAAGAGGATGGTACAGAAGGTGTTAGAAAATTATTTCTATGATGCAACAGGAACGTTTTTAAGAAAAGTACTGATATGCTATTCCTGCACCAATGATGCTGTTCCAAAGCGAAAATGATAAAAAATATCAAGAGAAATCACAACATTGATCATCGGCAGTCCTCTGCTGTACATATATATATATAGCGCTATAGAAATTATTATTATTATATGATTATTATTAAAATTGTATGATAATCTGCCTTAGATCTGAGTATGCACCAATATCTGCCCCATTTGTGGAATCAGCCACAGATCTGAGAATCCACCACGGATCAGAGTCCTGCCATAGACCCAAATCCCACATATATACTCACATTGTAACAACTAGACATGCGGTGTGAGGAAGTGAAATGGGGTTTAACATCGCTTTCAAGAGTATTTCAATCGTGTGTGTGTGTGTGCGTGTGCGTGTGTGTGCGCTTGTACTAGTTCAGACTAAACCAATTTTAGAGTGCTAGCACACTGACATACCATGCCACAGTTTAACATGAATGCCCCTCATCAGACAAAGTATACTGACTCGGACCTGAACAGTCCTTGTTTTATCGCTTTAATGTCGAGGGCCAGGCAGGGTACCAGCAACTACCATCTTTTAAAGTCTTTTGGTATGACGCCCCCGGGGATCGAAACCCCCGACCGTCCGCTCCCCGGGCAGACGTTCTACCACTAGACAACTGAGGCGTATTGTTGCCTCTTGGTAATATCCTTGCATTTCAGATATTCTTTCACTTTATTGTTTTCAAATTCATGGCCTTTATCTGACCTTATGATTAGGGGTAAAGTTGTTGTAGCACATGTATTCCTCAGGAATTTGACAACAAAGTCGGATGTTGTATTTGTCATGGACACATGTTATAAATACCGTGCAAATACATTGATAACCTCAAATATTTGACACCATAAAAGTTGTGTTTGACACATCAGCACAGTCAATATTTCAACGAGAATTCAGTCCAGAGGTTCTATATGACCCTCTCTTAGTATCTGTCCTAGGAGAATAATCTTAGGTTATTCCTGGCGCTCGAAGGAACCCTGCAATTTAAGATCTCATAGCCTTTGGAATTGATGTTTTGAGAGACAACTTTAATGGATGTAAAAGTCAAAGTCTATGTCTTCACCCTTGATGCAGTAGGCATCCGAGTATGAGACATCCCTAGATGGGGAGTCTGTCTGTAACCCAGGCTGTGAGTTTGTAGTCCTCGTAGATGAAGGGAAGATCCTCCACTCTGGTTGACTCATCTTCAAACAGTGTCTCGAACACATCCACATCCTGTAAAAGTAACAAGGAGTTGGGGTTTGGAGCAGTAGACGAACGGCATGAAGGACGTTGACGGGGTAAGCTGCGTGGAGACCTCAGACATCGACTGGTGTTGCTGCATGGCAAGTAAAACTTGTGTGACGCTTGCTACTAAATCAGAGTTAGTAGATGAAGCTAGTCTGGAATCTTACACCTGTGCCTGCTTGTAGACTTGTTGACACATGAACCCTTGCATGAAGGGTTGAAACTGCCAGAAGGCCGGATGCTGCGTGAAGGTCTGAGGCTGTGTGAAGTCCTGTGGTTGTGTGAAGATTTGTCCAAGATGAGTGGATGTGTCTGCGTTGATAGAGGTGTAATCTCTTTGCGAGATTGCGTGAAGGTCTTTGACTGGGTGCAGATAGACGACTGTCTTCTGAGACTTTGCATTGAGCTTTGTAGTGATGATCACGTTAGCTTAGACATGTTCCTTCTTTGAGTGAGCTGACTTTTCCCGAGGGATTGAAGATTCTTCTAAGTGTCATCATCTTCTTCTTCTGCTTCGAAGTACCCTCAGTAAGGGTGTCACCATTTCTGCTCAAGGGGAGACTGCTGAGGTAACTAGCTGGAACTGCAGCTCCCTCTCAGAAGAAGGTGTAGGCGCAGTAGTTAGCTTCTTTTACGACAATGAAGTCGTTTCAGAAGAGGATAAAACTGATCGAGATTATTCCCTCCTTTGGTCAGTCATGTTTCTTTTGACTGCAAATAGGTACGGAGGAAAGGGCACAGAAGGAACACCTCTTGTCTGCTGTACAGGCTTGAGGGATGCAGGTCGAGCAGATGAGCGTCCCGATCTGAACCACGGACACAGCAAATAGTACATGATTTTATTAGATAACAGTTCAAACAGTTTAAAAATATTAAAAACTTTAAGCCAAAATTACTAAATAATTTTAAGATGTGATAATTAAAAGTCTGAAGAATGTAATCCGAGAAAATGTTTGGATATGATGGCTCGGATGGCGCGACAATGAGAGAGTTACGAGTACAGCGGCTTGGTCACGTGTTTCCGGTGCGCATGCGCGGGAGAGGGGTGCGTTCTAGTGAGATGTTTCTCTGTTCTCCAAGTTTTCCACTACTAATCGGAACTGAGTTGAGTCGGACTGATTGTACTGCTAGTCGCGGGGTCGGACATGGCCGTCGCCTCAATAAGAACGTCCTTCGACGATGAAGAATCGCCGTCCGATTTCCTGTCTATGTGTAAGGGACAGGGCGGTTCTCCGCACCGGAAACACTGGTCACTCGGTCCCTGTGAGCATTCTGTACCGTTTTGACCTGTTTCAACATCTAACAAGAAACATGGCTGCTGTCTTCAACCCTGCAGCCCTGAGTTTTGTCTTCCGGCATCACCCTCTGAGGGCCTTCTTAGGGCACAACTAATACGCTCTTGGAAATACACATTTAGCTTAGGGATTTCCTTTCGTTAAGTTCTGGTTGCAAAGACGTCACTCCGACCAGAGTGCTCATTTGAACAACCCGTGTGGTATGCTGAAACACTTTACTCAGGAGACAGCAACATAATGATGTGTACATGTACGTAATTCAAGGGACGGAGCGTACGGTAAAAATATCAACACGTCCGAATGTATAAATATCTGAATGTGAAGAAAACATCAGCGAGCCTTAACCCGAAACCCGAATGTAAAACCGGTTTAATTGATCACCTAGATCATTGGATAACTGTTCGTACACGACAATGACAAACCGGTTTCTGAGCAAGCTTGGTAAACAAGAAGCACGGATGTGTTCGTACTTCGACTCGATACATTAAAACGAAGATGTTGTAGCCGAGATATGGCCGAGACAATCAACACCACGGCAGCGATTTCAAACGTGTTCTCGCCGACGATGTAGAGAATACATGTTCACCATCATTGCTGAATTGGACGATCATTCATGGTGAGAATATATTGGTGTCAACAAAATGCTACCACATTTTAAAGATAACTGATAAAATTGATATCCCGCTCAGACAAAGTATTCTGACTCGGTGCGTATTTTGGTATAACGCGCTAGACGCTCCAACACTAGACCACGGGGGTGGTCATATTCAGCTAAGTGCCCTTCTTATCCTGTCTGGTGCTCGGCATTAAGGGGCTAAAACAAGGACTCGGAGTCAGTATACTGTGTCTGAGTGGGGTATTCATGTTAAACTGCAGCATGGTATCTCAGTAGGCTAGCACTATAAATCGGCATCAGTCCGGATTTGACGCGAAGTTAAGCCCCACGTCACCTCAACCACCCAATAAGTCCCCGCTTGGATAGGTGCCCTTCAGGAAAAGATCACGGGGGCGCTCCGAACTTTTGTGGTATGCCTCAACCACCAAGTGCTGATTAAATTGATCGTAGCGACGACATTACCTCACGGATAAACATTACATGATTACAAAGTCATGTAGACTGATTCCAAGCATAAACTGTATTAACGATTTTAAAATCAAATAATCTTAAACAAATATTCATGAAATATCACGGATGGAGATGTTTTCAGATCTCGCGATCAAGTCCTAAACAATATCCCGGGGAAACATTCTTGATATCAGTTTCCTATCTCGGCGTCTCATTACAACAAGAAAATACTACTGTCGTCACCATGTTATGCTTCGCGACTTGGGATGATGAAACTAGACGCCAACTATGTCAGTTTGTGGAATGTCCAGGACAATAAACCGCTGTTCTATTTAAGTACACGCAACTGCCATAAAACCACTGATGCATTGACAGTAAGTGCGCCTCCGTTCTCGGATCGGTCTAAATTGTAAAGAGAGGTGTACAAGTGCAGTTATGACTTTTTGTTTGTTTGTTTGATTGTTGTTTAACGCCGCACAATATTCCAGCTATATGACGGCAGTCTGTAAATAATCGAGTCTGGACCAGACAATTCAGTGATTGATATCAATCCTATCCACGTAATTGGGATCGATGACATGCATCAACCAAGTCGACCACCCGATCCCGTTTGTCGCCTCTTACGACAAGCATAGTCACCTGTTACGGCAAGAATGGGTCACTGTTCAATCAGCAGCTAGCACTGACGCGCACAAAACCCTGGTTCGATTCTCAACGTGAGTACACCGTGTGAAGCCCATTCTTGGTGTATACCCCCACCCCACCCCTTGATCCCCGCTGTATACTGCGGAAAGAAGCAGTGAACCCAATTCTTCTACTACCTCTGGGTTTCGTTTATTATTTTATTTGGGGATCCATGAGGGTCTAGGATCAGTCACTATTATCTATTGTTTCTGTTGAAGTGTTGTTCTGTCAAACAATTTAAACGTTTTCATTTATTGTGAGGACATCCATCGTCTCCAGCGAACAATTTGTTTTTCAGTAAAACCTTAAAAAATCTCAAGCCCCCACCCACCTCCAACACTTGTGGGGCACGGGTGACCCAGTCGTCTAAGGCGCCGCAATTTGCTGTACAGAGTTGCGTCCCTTGGACACGCCAGAAACCTCTGATTGTGGGTTCGAATCCCGGTACGCCCCGATTGAGTTTCTAGGTTTGTCAGCACCATACCCGTGCTCGTGGGTTTCACCGAAGTGGTAAACGTCTGAGACCTGCATCACTTCGGGCTTTCCTCCCACATTAAGCTGACACACCGCGATATAACTGGAATACTGTTAAAAGGGATTTCCCTTCGTTAAGTTCTGGTTTCAACGAAATCGCTCCGACCAGAGTCCTCATTTAAACAACCCAATGTTTTTAATACCTACGTGTTTCGGTTATTATAGACACAAAGAAAAAAAGTTAAGTACACCCTGATATATTTCATTTTTATTTGGTCCCAATATTTGTAACAGTCATGAACGATATAACAGGGCCTACACCCCCAGGAACATTAAACCGACTATTGCATACGGCGGAGGCTCTGTCGTGGTTTGGGGGTGTATCTGTCATGATTGCAGGTTGGATTTGGTCACCATAAGGGGCACCTTAACAGAGGCTCAGTACATCCGGGACGTTTTAAGGCCAGTCGTCGTTCCTCATTGGAACCCCCTTGAACATGTTTTGGATATTCTGGGGCGGCGCATATAGGCACGAGATCCTCCTGTACAAGATTTACGCCAGTTGGAAGCAGCATTGCACCAGGAGTGGTTGTTGTTGACCCATCAACAGATCCAACGTCTGACTGGAGGCATGAGACGTAGGGTGGAATGCGTCATCCGGGCACGTGGCGGTTATACCCGCTACTGATCTGTTTCACGTGTCATGTCAAGTAGAGACTTTAAGGAACATTTTCACATGAAACATAAAATGTACTTCGTTTACTTAATCCTGCAGCTCCATACTTTTTTGTGAGGTATTGTCTAGGGTCATAAACAGTACATGTGTTACCATGATGTTTTTGTCAGTAAATTTCAATCACAGCTCACCAATATCTTCTTTATTTGTTGTCAAATGTTTGTTCTATCCGATGACATTGGTATCGCCCAGCTCCTGTGGTCAATCATCCCATGCCATGATTTTTGCCATTTGTCATGGTTCAGAAATAGGGGTGTGCTTAACCTTTTTCTTTGTGTACATTATTTAGGGAATCCATGAGGGTCAAGGATCTTTCACTATAATCTTCTTGTTTCTGTTAAACCCAGAAATATCAAATGGTGATCCATGCAATGTGGTTCTTGTATTTTCACTTTACAGCACAGGTGTGTACACAATGTCTTGCGAAAGAAAGAATGGAGGGCACCCATGACGACCGTGAGTAGTAATCGTTGAATATTGCAGACAGATATGATGATTCAAAATATGTACTAGACGTATAACATGATTCAATACTTTTGCTTTACTTACAAGGCCATCATAATAAAGCTTTGGAAACGTTTCATGGTAGAGATATGGATTGGCATTTCCACATTTGACACATCAGTGACCAGACCGCCTCCGTGGTCTAGTGGTAGAGCGTCCGCCCGGAGAGCGGAAGGTCCGGGGTTGGATCCCCGGCCGCGTCATACCAAAAGACGTTTAAAGATGGTTCTTGTTGTTACCCTGCCTGGCGCTTGGCATTAAGGGGCTAAAACAAGGACTGGTCGCCTTGGAGTCAGTATACTGTGTCTGAGTGGGGTATTCATGTTAAACTGGGGCATAGTATCTCAGTGTGCTAGCACTATAAATCGGCATTAGTCCGGACTAGTACAAGCAGACCGCCCCCCCCCCCCCCCTTCCGAACACACACACGCTATATAACTGCAGTAATCTTGGATGCGACGTTTAACCCTAGGTCACCTCACCTCACCAGTGACAGAAATACAAGCCTGAGGTAATTCCGTATTTTAATTTGTATCTTAGGTTCCATGTGTCGGCGTGAACAACTGATATAATCACTATTTTATGATTTGGAAAATAGGAAATATGCTTTGCGAGCTCGCAGGGCGTGAAATCACGCTATAAATATTTTCAGACAACTACGTAAAGTTTCAAGAAAACCTTTTCAGAAAAGATAACAACGTATCAGGACAAACAAAAACACAATCTAGTACAAACCAGGGCCAACCCTAAATTGTTTTGGAATATTTTTTGGAAGTCTAAAGTGTCATCACAGATTGCTCTTAACATAACGGCACAACTGTGGATGCAGCACTTTAAGAATCTACTCAGACTCATACTGTAACTAGCTATAATACCTTCATCAATGACATAAATATAGAAGAGGCTTTGACGGAAATATTGATGAAATAAATATGCTGTTTACTTATGAGTGTGAGTAAGTTGGGTTTAACGCCGCTTTTAACAGTATTCCAGTTATATCACGGCGTGTCAGTTTAATGTGGGAGGAAAGCCCGGAGTGATGCAGGTCTCAGACGTTTACCACTTCGGTGAAACCCACGAGCACGGATATGGTGCTGACAAACATTTAAACGTAATCGGGGCGAACCGGGACTCGAACCCCAAATCATAGGTTTCTGGTGTGTCCAAGGGACGCAACTCTGCACAGCGAATCGCGGCGCCTTAGACGACTGGGCCACCCGTTCCCCCTAAATATTTTGATATTGGAGCTATAACAAGTAACCCGTGACAAGTGGAGTTGGTAATGCATTTTTAAAATCTACAAAACATCTTATTACACCCTTACTTACTAAACTCCTCAACGGGATACCTGTTACTGGAACTTTTCCGCAACAACGGGGAAGAAGTATATGTCCTATTCCCACATCAGTGGACCAGGATATCACTGATGATTACAGGGGCATATGGAACGTTCTGACATATATTCTGGTTAAAAGACTACAGTCCTGGTGTGACATTAATGATATCATACACGAATCTCAAGCTGGTTTTAGACCCGGAAATTCAACAACTGATCAGCTTTTCACATTACAGGCAGCTGGACAAAAATACCTCTCCGAAACAAAGTGTAGATTTTACAGCATCTTTATTGACTTTTCAAAGGCATTTGACAGAGTTAATCATGAAGTTATATGGAGTTTGAGGAGAGTAGGTCTTAAATGCAACTTCAATCAATTACTTGTATCTATGTATTCTAATCTATCAGCACGTGTAAGAACACCAACCGGATTATGTGATTACCTTAAGTGCGACTTGGGAATCCGTCAGTGGTGTGTTTTAAGCCTCAAAAGGCTTTTCGACAATTTATTTCAAGACTGGCACTCATCCTATCAAAGTGAACAAATATAAACAACATACATCACTTTTCAATACTGAATCTTATCTGACAATAAACATACCCCGATATGTTTAGTGGCATTTATCAAAATTTAGACGTAATGATTTTGGATTACATGTTGAGATTGGAAGACACAATAATATTCCTCATGATGAAAGATATTGTGAATTTTGTTTCACGAAAAATGAGAAGTTTGTAGAAGGTGAATACTATGTGATGATGATATGTGAACGCTACTCCAAGCTCAGAAACCAATATCTACATCCATATTATACAGATTATTATAAATGTATTAACCTGATGAAATCTACAGAGACTGGCTATTTTTTACCAAAAGGTTTACAATGAGAAATGAGAAAAACGTTATAATAATACCCTTGTAAGCAGGATAAATAAATATTCATATTATTGTATTGTGGGCCGAATGCCTTTATCACTGACTCAATTTGATTCTGTCTGATAGTGATTCTAAAACACATGCTTATGATATAGTTGGAAATGTCCAATGTAACATGGAAAGGGTTTTGTCGGGTTTTTTTATGTTTCATTTAAAAAAAAAGTTATTGTAGGTACTGCTCGTTGGAAATCTTAGAATAGGTATTCAGCAACCCATGCTTGCCGTAAAAGGCGACAATGCTTGTAGTAAGAGGCCACCAATTAGCTGGTCAGGCTCGCTGACTTGGTTGGAGCATGTCATCGTATCCCAATTGCCTGAATCGATGCTTATGATGTCAATCACTGGATTGTCTGGTCCAGACTCGATAATTTATAGACTACCGTCTTATAGCGGGAAAAATGCTGTGTGCGGCGTTAAACAACAAACAAATGAACAAGCACAAGCAAACAAACAAACTTTGCACTCTGTTTTATTTAATTGCTCATCTTTCTCTGACCAACAGGTTGTTACATCTGTAAAGAACTCATACGAAATAAACAACAAATACTCATTCAAGAAGACAACTTCCTCACGATAGATGTCGTTGCATCTCTTATCAATAAACCAAGGAAGGCCAGTACACCAAAGGCAAACTGCACAGTAAAAACTTCAAAAGACCAGTGGAAAAAGGAAAGAGATCAGTTCACGCTGAAATTGAAGAGATATGTCTCAGCGCTTAGGAACAGCAAGGGAGGGGCAATACTTGTACACATAACTGATTTAGATAAGAAAGATAGAAATTTGGATCATTTCCATGAACTTGTTGATGCAAGACTCAATGAAATGATAGAAGATGGTTGCTTGTTTGTCCTAACATACAAAAAGAATTGGCTTCCTTGCTTAAATGACAACTACCAGTTTGTTGCTGTTGTTGTATCCCCGTCCACACTGGTCGTGACAGTTGACTTCAAAACAAAGACTCCCCTGGACAATAGCATCGTTGATCCTTCAGTTACGACCATACAGTATATGCTGGCGTCAAGTCAGACCTTTGGGTCTATTAAACCAATCCTTCGTGGTATAGACATCGAGGACATAGATGAGAGTCGCTGTATCCAGGCTAAAGGTTTTCAATCTTCATTCAGTGAACTTTTGGATGTTAGCAGGGTTTCTGAGTTTATTCAGTACATTTGGGAAAACTTAAAATTAAAATATTACGTGACCTCGTTTTCGAAAATAGATGGTGGGGGATCTTTCTACTTAGGGGTGGATGAGGTGGATGTGCAGTACTGTACCTACAGCTCAAAGGCTTTGCTTGTAAAAGGATTCGAATACCCCGAATCATTGCATACTGGTTTCCGTGAAGGTCTTATAAGAAAAGTACAATCTGAACTGCTAGTTCTTCTCAAAAACGATCGTGGTATCGTCTTTGTTGAGCCACAAGACTTGATAGCTGTATATTTTCATCCAGTCAATGGCAGAGATGAATCGTACGTCTTGGAAGTAGCAGTGGCAGCAGTCGAAGGGATTGTTTTCTACGACAAGGAGGGTCCAGAAGCATATCAAATTGACGATAGAGGATCTGTGTGCAGGATAGATAAGAAGGATTGGTATAGGCGTTTCAGGGGGCTTCAAGTACAGTGAGTTGAACATACTCCTCTTGTACCTTCTTGCATGCCAATTACAATGTTGTATTTTGATGATGGGAAGACGTGATTTTTATTTTAAAAGTTGTTTTTATGTGAACATCGAATTGTGTAGACACCCGTCAACCAAACAAATGAAGAAAACATTTTCCCCCATTTCATAATCAGTTATTTTGTAGGAGAGAAGATTTGTTACATGCATATTTTGTGTTCAATTATTGTGTTTGTTCAGTGAAGATATACCATCTTGTTTCGTCAGCGATGCAGTCAGGAAATGCGGTGTGTTTGAAAGGTAGTTTTTTTATTGACCTCTCCCTTCCAAATTCGTGTTTGTTCATTTTGTATTTTGATATTTATTTAAAGAGCAAAAACAATACTTTCACAAACGGTGTAGCTTTTAGTAGGACATGATCTGTCCAACCATTTGAGTTTCTGAATACAAAATGTTACGTGTAACCTTGTTTCATGCATTCACGTTCTGTATCCTTGATACTGATAGATCCTGTCACGAAAACACAAAGGCATGAGGTCAACATAGTTTCCTTCGATCAGTGCCCTCCAAATATAAAACAGATAGAAAACAGCATTGAAGACATTGAAGATTACGTACATAAAGGTCAGTAATTAAATTCTAATGTGTGTCAAACATTTGTTCATATCGGAATAATGCAAGATTATTTTGTTAAAAATTGAATGTCTTTTGATTATCTTTTCGTTTATTCACGCGAGTTACCCTCATGAAAGTGACAGTTTCTCAAACAAACTGGGGAGGTTTTAAAATTAAACAGGAACATGAAGTGTTAAATTTCTAGAGTTCATTTCACAAACTAAGTGTAAACATACTTCTAGATCAATATTTTAAATTTGTATACATGTTTGTAAACCTGTAATGTACAGCATTACATGTATTTCTTTATTTTCAGATACTTTGGTTGTATACCCACCAAGAATATGTCAACATCATTATGAAATATGCCTGTTCAAACGACTTGAAGAGCTTTCTGACAGAGGTCTTGCATATGTTTCAAATAACTTATCAGTGAGTGCAAACATAGAAACGGCTACCAGATCAGACGATGTTGTGCTTGACATCTTTCTCCTGTTAGAAGGTCATCCACCTTCAGTAATTTCTATCGTGGGGCGCGAAGCATGTCAAGACTCCACAGGTTTCAGGCAACGGGCCGCACAGCAGTACAATCTTTCCCTGACAAAGGGTCTCATTCAGGGTGTTCGTAATTTCACAAGTGAACAGTTCAGTGCTGTGTTCGGTGTTCTGACAGAAAGGGAACTAGAGACTGAGAAAGAGTTCAAGGTGGCGCTTTTAAACATACGGAAAAGGACATCAGGTCTGTGCGTTGCTGGTTCCCTCAGCCTAATGGAGGTCAAAAGAAAGAATCTTATTCGAGCATTTCTGTTGTCAGTCTCCGTAACTGCATCTGTTTCTACGGTGGAGGAGGACTACAGTTTGTGGATCCTTACTCTGGAACAATTCCGTGTCCTCACTGAGAACATTGACAAGCGACACGTCACTGTAAGGACAACACCGTCCACCGGAGGAAAGGTTTTGATGCGAGAGGTTGCTAGAAGACTTGAGAGATCTGGGCCAACCGTTTTGATCACAGAGACGGAGGAGCAGACACAGAGAGCCAGGTAATGAACCAAGCATCTTACGTACATGTAATGCACTACCCGTTACCGTCAAGAATCGCACAATGACAACATATGTATTTGAAAAATATTCGTTCGATATCCACGAATGCAGCTAGGAATGGACCACTATATTTTCAGTATGGGAAGAGAATGCTGGTTGCTGATGAAAAATGTTAATGCTATTTTATTGGTCCTATTTGTTTTGTAAAATTGCCTGCACTCTTCAAACCAAGTACAGTAAACTACGTTTAAAACGAACACGCTTATAACGAACTGACCGATAAAACGAACTTATTTTTTAGTCACGGCCATTATATATTTTATAACTACGATTATTACGAATTACAATTAGTGGTCCCTTTGAGTTCGTTATAACCGTAGTTTACTGAAAAGTACAAACATAAAAATAATATAATTGAAAATATTTAAAATCTGAGTGTGTGTGAGTGAGTTTGGTTTAACGCCACTTTTAACAGTATTCAAGTTATATCGCGGCGTGTCAGTTTAATGTGGGAGGAAAGCCCGAAGTGATGCAGGTCTCAGACGTTTACCACTTCGGTGAAACCCACGAGCACGGGTATGGTGCTGACAAACCTAGAAACATAATCGTGGCGAACCGGGATTCGAACCCACAATCATAGGTTTCTGGCGTGTCCAAGGGACGCAACTCTGCACAGCGAATCGCGGCGACTTAGACGACTGGGTCACAGATATAGGATATGACCTTCGAATATAACGTGAACCTGAGTTACGTGAATTCAGAATATATCAATAGCACATTTTCGTCCTAAATAATGAACTCTACTAAAGTGGAGATGAAGTGTTCGAAATAAGGGGGTGGGGTGGGGGTGGGGTGGGGGTGGGGTGGGGGTGGGGGTGGGGAAGGTGCCTGATTATTTTTCAATGACATTACTATCCGTGACTGATGAGGGGTGGTCGGGTAGCCTAGTGGTAAAGGCGTTATCTCGTCACGCCGAAGATCGGGTTCGATTCCCGACATGGGTACAATGTGTAAAGCTCATTTCTGGTGTCCCCCGCCGTGATATTGCTGGACTATTGCTAAAAGCGGCGTAAAACCAAACTCACCCACTCACGTGACTGATTAAATTTTATTTGGCCCAATGTCGATTATTTGCAAGGGCTGTGATATAACTGGAATAGCATTGTATGTCACATAAAACAACATATACTCATACGTTCATACCACATTCTTGCCCAGAAGGATGGAATTATGCTCCTTCATGATGACACTTGATACATGGAAAAGGAGACTAGCAGATGGGGGTCAAGTCGGCGGGATTAAGAATATAGTGACCAATTGTCTAGACTGTCCTTTGCTGGACAATTGTGACAGGTCGTGGATCTTCGTCTCAGGTGATTTGATAAACCCTCACTAGAAACTTTAGCTGAAGATAAGTAGGTCATCCAGGAAAAATACGACAATACATCAAATGATGTATATCATTCAGTTTTCTAGTTGTTAGTGTGATGTATAAATGCAGCAAAGATATTTTTTGTTCCTTCACATCAAATGTTTAATATATACATTTTAGACAAAAAGGTCCCTTTAAATATGGCTGTATCGCCTGTGTTGAAGGTTTTCACATTCGTCGTAGCTGATAACTGGACCGATATTTTCTACCAAATGCGTAGTATTTGTTGCGTCGGCCAGTGCAAATCTTTGCTTCTATTACATTGATTCATTTGGCTAAATTGGACGCATTTGTTTAGATCCCGAAAATAATATTTGGCGCCAGAGTTTATTTTATTTAGAGTAGGAGTTTCAAAAATGGTACTAATACCATTGTGCCTTCTTTGCACTTCCCTAGACGGGGTAAAAACACCAAGTCAGCAAAGTGAAGCTATGGACCGGGGTCTTGAAAGACAAACATTTGCACAGGTGAAACAATTTTAGTAAAATTTATCAATTTGGAATTCAAAACGTCAATCAATTTCAAATATCTGCCAAAACAGATTCCATAAGACGTAAAAGGCAAAATTGTGATGACAAATTTATAAATGCGCCGCGGAAAATGTTAGCCTCGTTTTGGTAATATTGAAATTGTCCGTTTTATTTTTATTTTTGTCAGGATTCTGGAAACGTCACTGATATGCCAAACGAAGACGTAACGAAAACCATGCATGTTCTTGAGAAAGGTAATCCTTTTTTCTCATTATTGTCACAAGAAAGTTCCCATAATCAGTAGACCCGTGAAGATCCGGGGTAGAATAGGTCTTCAGCAACCCATGCTTGCCGTAAAAGGCGACACGCTTGTCGTAAGAGGCGACTAACGGGATCGGGTGGTCAGACTCGCTGACTTGGTTAATGCATGTCATCGATCCCAATTGCGTGGAACGATGCTCATGATATTAGTCACTGGATTGTGTGGTCCAGACTCGATTATTTACAGATCGCCGTCATATAGCTGGAATATTGCTGAGTGCGGCATTAAACAACAAACCGACCAAGCAACCAAATCTCTCTCCCCCATTTGGTTTAGAAAGGTGACCAAGATTGCTGGAACGTTTGAGGATTGATGTGCGTGTGACAGTTAGGTCGCACACCTTATAGTGTCTCCCGACCGATGTTGCCTGACATAAATTGCTTCGTGTGTCATGTGCATATATGCATATAATTCAAATATGTAACATTTACTTATTTCATTTACAGACCTACAAAGACTGAAAACTGAAAATGAAGCCCTAAGAAAGGTAAACATTGACCACGTGACAAAATGATTTATTGTCACTATTGTCGTGTAGTGAATCGAGAGTATAAGCGCAACATTGTGCACGACAGTTAGGGCTGCAACGATACACCTAGGTCACGATACGATACGTATCTCGATACTTACATCACGATTCGATACGTATCTCGATACGCTACGATACACGTAGTGACAAGAGAAGACAACAGATAAATGAATTAAACTTAGTTTATTAACATGAAAAATTAAATGAAAGTTAATGAATGTTCATGAGTCATAAAATATATACTGTAATGAGTATTTTAACTTAATGAATCATCTGCCATTTCCATGTAATGGCTAGCAAACACAAAACTAACAGTTCTACATATTTGTGAGTTGTGACTAGATGGTAGATTCTAGGAGTAAATACTAAATACTAAATGTCCCAGTGTCCAGTAACTAATGATTTGCCATTTTCATGTATAAAGGCAAAAAAACAATTAAAAATAATTATAGCAACAGCCTTGTTATACACCGTTTGAAAGGTATAATCCTAGTGTTTATAAGTTATGTTTATCACATTATTTAAATAATGCATTGACAACTGAAATATTGTAAATAAAAAATGTAAGCTGGCACATTCATAACGTCCAGATTAAGGACCAAGGAAGCGAAAATTTGACGATTTGGGGCAAATGTAAGATTTCAAAAGATCTACTTATTTATTTTTTATTTTCATTGATTACGTAGATCTAATTGGAAAATTATTTTAAAAAGAATTATGAATAGCATCTCTTTTCACTCATTTCAAGTTAACAGCGGCTGTCCGCTCAGTAACATACCTCCGTTTTCGAATGCTTCGTATGAATAACACGTTTGTCGGTGTCTGACATATGACACATCGCTAGAAAGCTTGTTTTTTCATCTACACGCTCGTAACATTGCCTTGAGTCTTTTCGTAGCTTAACATAAGATTTCATTGGATAAAAAATGGTTTCTAATGACGCTTTCTTGCCGAAATCTGCTATAAGGTTCATGATTGGTCAAATTTGAGCACGTGACCTGAGGCAGGCAATCAAATTACAAATCCTCGTGTACGATGAATTTCAGATTTTTACGAAATATTTTGGTTAAATCGTGTTATTCTGAACGTTTTAAGCAGGAAATCGCGATCTATATTAAAACTATGGAGCTTCGTGGATGTATCATGCTAGGTTGCAAGCTATGACAAAGACTTTTCATGCATATATTTTGGCATTGAACATCGTGTCCGAGCCGAGAATTCGAGGCGCCGAAAGCCGAGATGTCATTTGACTAACATTACACGCGAACGCACGAAAAGTTGGAAATAATAACTTAGCTGTAAGTTTGACCACTTTTAGATATATTTATGTTGATTATATTTATCACTTTGTATGATATATTTAAAGATTTGCTTGAAACGTCTTTGTTTTGCTCTTTGACACTTTCGATGTGCACGTTGTCGAAGTGTATGTCCGAGAATCGTTTCAGCCCTAACGACAGTTAGCCCGTGAATAGCCGCAAATGTCTGATGTGACATGAAGTAAAATAATTTTATAATGTGGAGTTTATACGGCTTTTCCATTGGACGAGAGGACGGTCACATGACCGTGAAACTGAGGTTAAAAAGTGTATGAACGACACATTTGATGTTCATAGGGGTTTTTTTTAGCTAGCATTGGGAGAGTCAGGGAGTTTGACTGCATGGGCGTTCAACCCACCCTAGAGAACAAAACGAAGAAAAGCACTCTCAAAGTACCGTAGTGTCAACTCGATCCGTGTCTGGACTGACTGTCTACAGCAATCTATGAATTTACCGTATTATCTATAGGATACGTCTTTGCAATCACCTTTCAATGATCTGTCAATTGATCAGTGATGACTAACACTTGCAATAGCCACAGGTTCATTAACAACTTCGGAAATCTCACCCGTCAAGTTTATCGTGTCGTCCATTTTGACGTCTTGTACTTGATGTAAATGTATTACGACGTGTCACTTCTCGTTTTGAAGAACTATTCAATCTGCGATACAGCTGGTTGTTGTATGGCTGTCAGTGTCATTATGAAGTTACATGTATTAGGAATCGTGTTTAGATCAACAGTCGCAAGTCACTGTGAACTTACCTGTGAAAGTCCATTCTTAAATGTATCTAGAATCACAGGTTCTGAAAAGGTTTGTGCGATTTAAAATACTGCTTATGTTTCCGTTCAGTCGGACGAGGGAAACCCTGTCAGAATTATACTCGAAAAATGCCAACTTGTCATTTTTGAAATGGACGTATTGGGCACGTGGAATATTGATGCATCTTGAAATAGAAGGCAAAGCCATAGTGACTTTAGCTGAATGTCGCATTTATGCAGCCTTTGATATTTATGTTAGTGGGCTAGCCAGAAACTCCTACATTGTGCTGAGAACAAGTAAAAACTTAACGGTATTACTCATTGACGAGTAACATTTGAGCGCTACAATTCTGAACCGGTTCTCTATGTTCCAAGTTTGCTACAAAATATGTAAACATGGTAAACATGTTTGTGTTATTTAAGCAGGACTAACTACAAACTCTGAGGTGAGGTGAGGTGAAATGGGGTTTAACGTCGCGTCCAAGATTATTGCACTTATATAGCGACGTGCATGTACGTGTGTGTGTTTGTGTGGCTGCTTGTACTAGTCCGGACTGATGCCGATTTATAGTGCTAGCTCACTGAGATACCATGCCGCAGTTTAACATGAATACCCCACTCAGACACAGTATACTGACTCCGAGCCGACCAGTCCTTGTTTTAGCCCCTTAATGCCGAGCGCCAGACAGGGTAGCAACAAGTACCATCTTTTAACGTCTTTTGGTAAGACGCGGCCGGGGATCGAACCGCGGACCTTCCGCTCTCCGGGCGGACGCTCTACCACTAGACCAAGGTGGCGGTCCCTAACTCTGAGAACTAGTCAAATAAGGTACTATTATCCTCTGGACTAGCCTTAAAAACATAAATTTCTGGGTCTGTTTATGTTAGGAAGCGACCTTTTAATAAGCGTTTGGGAGGGTGGGGGACTGTTTGGTCTTTTTGCACAACACATGTTTTCAGCAGACATGTGGAGGACATTTACAAATTTGACGCTTTATTGACAAAAATCATGTCCGATGCAATTCCTTAATTTTTCTAGAACCAAATGTTCCCGTCTCGTTTTCAGGTGACCAATTGGCTTGCCTTTGCATGTGTTTGTGACATCGGTGGGGGCAGGATACGCTCACCATTTCGCGAACTCCTGTTTGATAGTGATGCATAAAAACCTGATATGGTCGGAATCAATACAATTGATATTTCTTATGAACATGTAAAGGGTTTTGTCGCTTTAAATTCAGGACAAATAACAATATTAATTTATATTTTCAAGTATTGGAAATCGCACCAACGACCATATGTCTTGTCTGTAATATGTATGTTTTCCAGACAGAGGACGACCTCACAAGGATGCTTGAGTCTGTTTCCCTAGGTGGGTTTTCCCTGGACAGCAATAGAAGCCGCTATTTCAAGAGTGGTTCCGGTGTCGGTAGTGTTCGGAGTCTTGACCGGCTGGCCGAATCAGACAAACAGAGCCGAAGCTATCATGCCTTGAAAAGTGTGAAAAAGCGGCTTACAGTGGGATTCGGGAGAAGGAAAGGTACGTAACATCTATGACACACTGAAGTGAATTTGTGGGTCCACATACTTGTTGAAAGAGGTTAATTTATGGATCGGTTGGTCAGCCTCGGAGACTTCGTTGATTGAATGTCACCGTCCCCCGAACATGGTGGACCGACTTAAGGAAGATAACGCATACATAACAAGTAGGTCCACATGGGAGCTTGTCGTAAGAGGCGACTAACGGGATCGGGTGGTCAGGCACGCTGACTTGGTTGATGCATGTCATCGTATCCCAATTGCGTGGATCGATGCTCATGACATAAATCACTGGATCGTCTGGTCCAGACTCGATTATTTACAGACCGAGGTCCTATAGCTGGAATATTGCCGATTGCGGCGTTAAACAACTAACAAACAAACAAATCATTCTATCAATCACTGGATTGTCTGGTCCAAACTCGATTATTTACAGACCGCGGTCCTACAGTGCGGCGTTAAACAACAAACAAACCAAACAAACAAACCATCTGGTAACCTAACAGTAACAACAGGTAATATGTCAGGAAGATGTGTTTTGTGTTGATATGATGTGATATATGTTCCAAATGATAAAAAGACAAATTGTCAATTTTAAGTTTTACTGAGTCACAATACATGCCCTATTTCCACAATTCTATTTACAATAATCGTATCCCATCACCTACAACAGTAGATATATATTCGCATTTACACGGTTCATGATATCAAGCACTGGGTGGTCTGGTCCAGACTCGATTATTTACAGACCGCCGTCATATAGCCGGAATATTGCTGAGTGCAGCGTTAAACAACAGACAAACAAATCATTCTATCCATCACTGGATTGTGTGGTCCATACTCGATTATTTACAGACCGCCGTCATATAGCTGGAATATTGCTGAGTGCGACGTTTAGCAACAGACAAACAAATCATTCTATCAATAACTGGATTGTCTGGTCAAGACTCAAATATTTACAGACCGTCGTCATATAGCTGGAATATTGCTGAGTGCGGCATTAAACAACACACCCAACCAAAACCACGTGTAAAGATGTCCTTACATCATGTTTGTTGTTGCAGCCCGACTTGATCCAACATACCTGCTGGAAAAGGATGCTGTGTATGTCATGACTGACGCGTTAAATCGACATCCGCTTTATGTGATCTGTAAGTGAATAAACATACGAAATTTTTATTCTGTGGAATAAGGCGCAGAACAGTCTGTTTCACGACCGATTCGCTGTCCAGAGTTGCGTCCCTTGGACACGCCAGAAACCAATGATTGTGGGTTCGAATCCTGGTTCGCCCCAATTATGTTTCTAGGTTTGTCAGCACCTATCCGTGCTCGTGGGTTTCACCGAAGTGGTTAACGTCTGTGACATGCATCAAGTCGGGCTTTCCTCCCACATTAAGCTGACACGCCGTGATACAACTGGAATACTGTTAAAAGCGGCGTTAAACCCAACTCACTCACTCACTCTAAAACAATCACGTAACTAAGACAATGATCCTGGTGATGATCAACAACGACCGTATTCGATTGAATATTTGCCAACATTCTTATGATAATGGAAACTATTTTGACCGTTTTGATACATCACCGTTTTGATTATGGAAAATGTTTTGCCGCTTTTTATTTATTACAACTTTTTTAATTTCCAGGTCGACAACATGACATGGATAACGACCGGATGAACAAGTACTACGGCCGAGTGAGCATGCACGGTCAACCTGCGACATCACAAGAAGCTCGGTTTTACATGTTGCACAAGGGTGCATGCGTCACACAACGCGTCACCTTGACGCCACCCCCTCCTACGCCCGCTTCTCTCAGCTCCCACTACTGGGAGACTCACACAGTGGTTGAAGCGAGGGAGCCGTACCGCTTGTTGGGAGTACCTCTGTTAGAGATGGGAGTTTCTGAAGAAAGCCACGTGCTCAATAGCAGCTGGGTTTACCAGCAGCCGGGCTCCTGGTCCATACGTGTGGTATTCTGTGACACCCACAGAGGCATCTGCACACAGGTATGGGAGGATGGAGAACGTATTGCGTGTTATCCAGGCACCATGTCCGATGCTGCTGGTGCACGTGCCACACTGAGGTATGGTCTAGTGGTGGACGGAAATGGAAGAATTGGATGCATCGACCTGGACAGACACATTGTGTTATATAAACTTGACACGCCCATCAGAAATGTATTTTACCCAGTGTTTGGGGTGAGCATATCCCCCTGCGTCACCATTAAGATGAGGATGCTCAGCGGGAGTGGAATCATCGTGACCGAAGAGAAGCAATCACTCATATACTCGGCATTGAGAGAAACCGAAAACAGACGTTGAATCCCACAATGTTCTCTTCCAACATTGGGGCGGTCGGGTAGCCTAGTAGTTAAAGCGTTCGCTCGTCGCGCCGAAGACCAGGGTTCGATTCCCGCCATGGGTATAATGTGTGAAGCCCATTTCTGGTGCCGTGACATTGCGGGAATATTGCTAAAAGCTGCGTGAAACCATACTCACTCACTCACTCACTCACTCACTCACTCACTCACTCACTCACTCTTCCAACATTGAACATGTACAAGTTGTCGCCAAACTCAACTTCTCCGACAACTACTTATGTTGATTTAAATAGTGGGATTTGGCACTGACGAGGTGAGGTGAGGTGAGGTGAGGTGAGGTGGTGTTTATTAATAATGATAATTCACTTATGCAGCAACGTGCATGCACGAAGAGACTGCAATTAAATTGTTTGACTTCTTCGTTTACTGAATGTGGATTGTACTAGTGACCGGTCCCATCCCCCTAGATAATAAAATGCTGGGTCCCTGGGTAACATGCGCCAGTCACCAAAACCCAAAAGAATTGGAAGAATTGGGTTCACTGCTGCTGGTCGGGACTTTATAGTGCTAGCCCAGTGAGATATCGTGCAGCAGTTTAATATGGATACCCCACTCAGACACAGTATACTCCGAGCTGACCAGTCCTTATTTTATCCCCTTAATGCCGACCTCCAGACAGGGCAACAAAAAGTACCATCTTTTCAGAAGTTCTGTTTCATATAAAAAGACGCTCTGGTGAGATTTTCCGTATCTTCACACAGCTCGGTGGGACTCACCAGGGATGTATAGTAACCTTGACCTTATTACGGAGGGTAGGACATGTTACAGGGGGTACGGAAACCCCATGTCGTAAAGTTCATATTTCGTGTCTACTGTTTGGTATCTTAAGTTTTGTTTGCATCTTGTCTTCTATACAGATACAGGAACGGACACACTAGTACTGAGGATTCTGACGTCTACGTTATACCTATTACATACATACATAAATACATACACACACACACACACACACACACACACACACACACACACACACATCAATACAATGAGCTTGGTGTTTACTTGAATTATTATCCAATGCAATGAAGCATGACGGTGTAAACCGTGTTTGTTCTAAATTTCGTTTGGTAGTTGTAACGTCCAGTAGATACATGTAAGGCTGTAGTGTTAGTACCTCATTCACAGGTTGCGGTATTTACCTGCCATTTATATATGCTTGCATCTTATCTTGTTTATACTCCTTACAGTGAATATGGAAGTTGGATACTGGTATTTGTCTAGGGCACCGTTCCACAAAGCGATCTTAGCGCTACGATTGTCGTAAGTCAGTGTTAAAGAATGGGCGTTACGACCGACTTAGCGCTAAGATCGCTTTGTGGTACGGGACACAGGCGTGTAGTTTGTGAATCTGAACTAAATGTCCGATTGGGAAATTGTTTTTACCACAACACTTGCAAAACGTATTTAGATACATGTATTAAACGATCTGGTCATGCATACACTGAAGTTGACTTAAGTTATATCTTTATTCAACCATATAAAAAATCAGAAGGAATGGGTGCATAGTCAGAAAGAAATGCGAACATTAGTGACTTGTAGTGTAACCATTGAGTTCTAGTACCCATCCGACCCGAGTACCCGAGTACCCGAGTTACCCGTCCCAGCCAAAGAACATATCACACACATATTAACATATATAAACATATTGGCAAGTTTCCTGGGTTACGGGCGGAAATCTTACCAAAAATATGAAAGCAAATTATCCTTTCGTCGACCATGAGGACAGTATATTTCGTTACAGAGGTAGAATGTGGATAAAAATTTCACCAGCAAAGTTCGAACTGAATAATTGCAGTAACTCAGTGTTTTTACTTGCAAGTTTAGGATTTTTGAGAATCTCCTCCCATAACTTGCTCTTTCCTTGTCCCGTCCGCTGACATCAGTCCAGCTTTCAAAACAGAGTACCCTCCCTTGTCGACACCTCTACCAAAACCACCTGTACTCCCTTAGCCGAGTTTATCATTCGTTTCTTGTCATCCATGTTGGACAGCTAGAGCAGACGACACGCGACTGCTGTGTTTACAGACAACCCGACTTTCGCATCTCCCATCGCTGAAGAGTTCCTGTGATTACCGTAGTACGGATAACGTGCGGGCGTCCCTACGACGACGGTCTTAGACTTACACTTAGCTAAGATGTTGCTAAGACCGTTTCATGACCCAGTCTATGGCCGAATCTTAACTTAAGACAAAATTCGTGCTAAGCAAAATTTGAGCTAAGATCACTTTCCTGATCCCGGGGCCAGGACAACTACATGTGATCTAGGACATCTGTACGGTGGCCCATAGGGGACATGGAGTCTGTTTTTCAATATTTTGATATTTCACTTACTGTTATCGTAACCATTTGCAAATTAACACGATTTGTCATACAAATATGTGATTAATCATGTATAAATGATTTAATGATTTATGACAAATTGTGTTAATTTGCAAAAGGTTACGATAAAAGTAAGTGAAATATCAAAATATTGAAAAACAGACCCCATGTCCCTTATGGGCCACCGTACATTTGCAATATTCAATGTTGAACAATATACTTGCAGTACAATGATGCATACAAATCGCAAGTACTGTTAAACTTTTGAAAAGTTTTACTTAGGTCTTGAATGTTGTAACCTTGATCAAACAACGTCTTGTAAACCTCTTTGACATTTTCGTTGAAAGAGCAAGCTGGATTGTACCTCAAAAGTTGTGAAATGTAGACACATTGCTCAACATTGATCGAAAGTTGACTGTAAAAAATACAGCCTTCTTGTCATTATATCATGTAGTGTTTTTTGTCAGTCTGAAATTGTATGCATAGTGCAAATTTGAACTGCTCCCTTTAATTTCTAGTACTTGAGCCAGCGTTACAGAGTCATTAAGCATGTATAAATTCTCTTTGGTTTTAACCAAATACAACATCACGACAAGTGAATAGCAGTAGATTTACGTCTGAATAGTTAACATATACTGTATCGTGTGTATATGCCTACTAGGGCAATGAATAAAATGCGAATATTAAACAATCGCTTGCAAATTGTCGTATGCAGATTATGATCGCGCTATATACAGTCAAACACCGTTGTGTCGAACTTTGAAGTGTCGTAATTACGGTTGTCTCGAAGGCAGAGCATTGTCCCTGTGTGTTCCGTCTTTACTCGCCATTATTTAACCTCTGATGTGTCGAAACTGATGAATTAGAAGATAGGGTTGTCTCGAAGTCTGTTGTCAGTCCCAAACGTACTTCCAGCACAATTATACTCTTTTAGTCGATCTCGCCTCTCTGTTTGTCTACATTTATTCAAACAATTTTATTTCCTCGTCGTTTGATGTCACATATGTTTCGTGTTATTCATTCTCATACCAATCGGTGTATGCCGCTTGTGTCGAACCTCGGATAACTCGAAGTATTTACGTAGGCAACTTCAACACATTGGTGTTCGACTGTTTTAATCATTATTTATCAATCTTTTTCATGTTCGATATATATGTTCTCCATTCATATAGACCGCCTCCGTGGTCTTGTGGTAGAACGTCCGCCCGGAGAGCGGAAGGTCCAGGGTTCGATCCCGGGCCGCGTCATACAAAAAGACGTTAAAAGATTGTACTTGTTGTTACCCTGTCTGGCGCTCGGCATTAAGGGGCTAAAACAAGGACTGGTCGGCTCGGAGTCAGTATACTGTGTCTGAGTGGGGTATTCATGTTAAACTGCGGCATGGTATCTCAGTGAGCTAGCACTATAAATCGGCATCAGTCCGGACTAGTACAAGCAGCCACACACACACATACACGTGCATGCACGTCGCTATATAAGTGCAATAATCTTGGACGCGACGTTAAACCCAATTTCACCTCACCTCACCTCCATTCATATATCCCTGCATATCTACAATTATTTTTAAACATCAATGGACTCTGTGCCTGACTAATAAACTCCTGTTTATACACTCATGTGTTTGTGTTTTGTGTAATAATAACAAAGTACATCGAACTTGTTTAACCACAGGTAAAAATACTTGTGCCGTACTGTACTCGGTACATGTCAATCCTAAACCCGCAATGTGAAAGTAGCGCGTGGAAGAAAAACCCACGACATTATAAACACAATGGATACACTGAAACATTTTTAATACAGATAAATAATATTTTTGAGGAGTAATTGCACATCAGAAAATCAAGTGCATAGACACTTAATTCTAACATCAAGTTTACATGGACGTATGTATATAAGTACCAATCACAAGTAGAATAGGTCTTCAGCAACCCATGCGTGCTGAAAAAGGCGACTATGTTTGTCGTAATGGGCGACTAACGGGTCGGGATTGTTCCTCATGATGTCAATCACTGGATTGTCTGGTCCAGACTCGATAATTTACAGACCGCTGTCATAAAGCTGGAATATTGCCGAGTGCGGCGTTTAAGAACAAACCAACCAGCCAAAACCAATCACAAGTTCAGTGTTTGTTTGTTGTTTAACGCCACACTCAGCAATATTCCAGATATGTGACGTCGGTCTGTAAACGATCGTGACTGGACCAGACGGTGCAGTGATTAACATCCTGAGTATCGATCAACGCAATTGGGATACAAAGTCAACGAGCCCGACCACTCCATCCTATCGCCTCTTACGACTCGAGTTCGAGTGACGTCAAGGTAGAATAACGGTTACATCCGACTACGACCATAGACCACACTGCAAGGAGCCACAACGATCCTTCATTAAGTCCAGCTCCGCTCACGGGGCACCTGGGCTTCTCCTCCTCCGCCTCCCCCGTGTACTCCCAGTTCCCACACCGGGGGAAGTGTTTGGGGGGTCGGGGCATCTGGTTCAGCTCCCCCACCTGCACGATGAGAGCCATCCCGACTGACACGTGGAATTCGATGTGGCAGTGCAGCAGCCAGAAACCTGAATAACAGAAATAAAGAATAATATATCCAAACTTATCCAAGCCCTCCACATTAGCACTGTACATCATCTACCAGCATTGTCAGCATGGAAAATATTGATGATTTACCAATTGCAATGGGATGATTGTGCAGAAATTACCCGGGTTATCTGACTCCAAAGTCAGTGAGATCACACATTGTTACCCTCAAATTTTGGTATTATTCGGCTCCTGCAACAGACTTGGTACTAGACTTGGTTTAATTCCACGTTAACAGTATTTTCTTTATTAAAGTGTATCAGCTTGATGGAGAAGGGAAACCCAAGGTTATGCATGCCTTAGACGCTTACCACAAGGTGAATGTTGACAAACCAAGAAACGTAATGAGGTGGAATCTTGGAATCGTCCTCAAGAGTCTCAGGTGCAGGAACGCCTGTGGACGCCAAAATTGACAGCCCCACCCCAAGCGATATAGAGGGTTTATATTGCATCTATCTATCCAGGAAATCTGATAATCTTGGACCACCTGCGCAACATATCAACCACCACCTACCAGGATTATTAGCATGAAATCATACGCTCGTCGACAACCTACCTGGGTTATCAGAATGAAATCATACGCTCGTGGACACCCTACCAGGATTATCAGCATGAAATCATACGCTCGTGGACAACCTACCAGGATTATCAGCATGAAATCATACGGTCGTGGACCACCTACCAGGATTATCAGCATGAAATCATACGGTCGTGGACCACCTACCTGGGTTATCAGCATGAAATCATACGCTCGTGGACAACCTACCAGGATTATCAGCATGAAATCATACGGTCGTGGACCACCTACCTGGGTTATCAGCATGAAATAATACGGTCGTGGACCACCTACCTGGGTTATCAGCATGAAATCATACGCTCGTGGACAACCTACCAGGATTATCAGCATGAAATCATACGGTCGTGGACCACCTACCTGGTTTATCAGCATGAAATCATACCGTCGTGGACCACCTACCTGGGTTATCAGCATGAAATCTGATGATTGTATACCCTCCATCCGGAACCGTAACAGTGTCTTTAGCTATCGGTGTTTCCAGGTTCCTTTGAATCAGACCATCTGCATCCATCTGTTTGATCTCCTCTAAAGAGGTTGATACGTTCACCTGCATCAAAGGATACGGCTTTTAACTGTACACACGTATAAAGCTTCGCTGAAGCTGATATCGATATTCCAGCCATATCGTGGCTTGGGGTCAGGACACTTGAAACTGGTGTCACGCTTTGAACCATGTGGGGAATCGAACCCGGGTATTCGCGTGACGAGCGATGCTTTAACCACAAGGTTACCAGACCGACCCCCCAAAACGGAAATGCGGGATATACAAGAGCAACGAATCGGATTCGATTATCTATAAAGTTCGAAAGAGTCCACACAAAGTGATAAAATTGATATAAATACTAGCACTTAGCAACACTAAACCCGTGAAGATCAGACTCGCTGACTTGGTTGATGCATGTCAACGATCCCAATTGCGTGGATCGATGCTCATGATATTAATCTCTGGATTGTCCGGTCCAGACTCGATTATTTACAGATCGCCGAATATAGCTGGAATATTGCCGAGTGTGTCGTTTAACAACAAACCAACCAACCAACCACTTAGCAACACTGGATGTTGCTATTCAGCCGTACTGGACGATCACCAGAGGTCCAGCTAATGCGACATCAAAGCCTCAAGAACTGATAACTTCACTTTGCCTGTGCATGTGTATGACCAAAGAGGGTTTGCAATATTAACAACATATCTGGCAATTGCATAATCGGCAACACCAGGACTCACTTTCTCGATAGCGACGACCCGGAAGTGATGGCCATGTAGATGCATCGGGTGGTTAGAGTTGTAGGTGACGCCCTCATCAATGATCACCATCTCCACGGTGTCGTCCAGGTCTACCTTGATGATGTGGATACACTCACAGAACTCCTGGCTGCAGTTCCTGGTGTTGTGGGGGCCGCAGAACATGTCCTACAGGAGAAGGTATCTGGACTAAAACGTTCCATTGTCTGCGTGACCATGTGTTTTAATAATGATCCTGTTCATTTGCAGCATAGAGTCTCTGAGATGGTAAGAACAGACCTGTTCTACGGGAGAAGGTATCTGGACTAAAACGTTCCTTTGTCTGCATGACCTTGTGTATGACCAGGCAATCCAGTGATTGACATCATTAACATCGATCCATGCAATTGGGATACGATGACATGCATCAACCAAGTCAGCCAGCCTTACCACTCGATCCAGTTAGTTGCCTCTTACGACAAGCATAGTTGCCTTTTACGGCAAGCATGGGTTGCTGAAGACCTATTCTACCCCGGATCTTCACGGGTGTGTAGGTGGTGCCATGAGCGGAGTCATCCTTAAAGACAAAGCTCTGGTAAGCCGTCTCATGGGCCGTGTAGTCGTTGACGACGTTAAACAGTATTTACGACTAATTTCTGAGGCCTCCAAAAAAGCCTGGAAGAAGCAGCTTAAGAGGTAATTGCTATGGCGCTTTTTACAAGGGAAAACGCGCAGACCTTAAAACATCATCTGAGAATAGTTATGCACCGCTTCCAGTAACATTCTTTCAATTTCTCGACGCAGGACAGAGAAAGGACAAATTATACCCATGTAGGGAATCGAACCCGGACATTATGTTGTCGAAATAAACCTAGGGCAAACACAAAGTCCCTCAAAATACCACTAGGACGAAATGAGCTTGTCATGACGTTTCACCAAAGTGTCTTACAAGATAATGTCATAATGAACGAACCTTCGGGATGTCATCATACTGAGAGAGTGGAGGGGACGGTGGTTGACGATGGGTGATATCATTTAACTGTGGCATATACAGCCTCTTGTCCAGGTTGACGGCAGCAAAGGGATAGAACTCTTTCCGGTGGAACACACCGTTGTCTATCTGGTTGAAGTCCATGGTGACATAAAACTTCTTATCGGGCACCTGTTTCATGTGGAGGGGGTCTGCCGGGGTGGTGTTCAGCCAGGACACGGGGGTCAGGTCAGGGGTGCCGTTCGTGTTCCAGGGGTTCAACAGCTAAAACATGGATTAGTCAATACAATTACAAGTTGAAAGCATATAGCTATTCAGCAGTATTGTACATGGCAGAGGGTGAAGGCTAAAGTTCTCGATTACATTAGAGAGTGAGTGAATATGGTTTTAGACCACATTTAGCAATATTCCAGCAATTTCATTAATATTTGTGACATTTAAAAATGGGTTTGACAAATTGGTCACAGGCCTTCGGCGTGTCAAGCAACGCTTTAACTGCATGGCTACCCCACTGCACCTCCTTTTTACATTAATGCATTGACAAGGATCGTGCAGTCAGCAGTATTCCAGCTATAGCACGAGACCATGTAAGCGGTCGAATCTGGACCAGGGAAACCAGTGACTGATCCAAAGCAACGGAAGGTGATGAGAAGAAACAGAGCTACCCGATTTAATTTAGATGCCTCTTCAGCTGACAAAAGAATGAAGTGTCCAGTCACCGAGCCTCTCAATCCAATCCACTCTGTCTCTAACATATAGATCACTTGAGACCTATTCAAACACGGAATAGGGGTTGGACATAAAGGAATTCTCTTTGATGCCTCGCCTTACATGACTAGAGTTAGGTTGTAGCCATGCTTACATGCGGACGGAAGGTCCGTGGTTCGATCCCCGACCGCGTCATACCAAAAGACGTTAAAAGATAGTACCTGTTGTTACCCTGTCTGGCGCTCAGCATTAAGGGGCCTAAACAAGAACTGGTTGGCTCGGAGTCAAATACTGGGTCTGAGTGGGGTGTTTATGTTAAACTGCGGCATGGTATCTCAGTGAGCTAGAACTATAAATCGGAATCAGTCCGGTCTAGTACAAGCAGCCACACACACACACATTCATGCAATAATCTTGGACGCGACGTTAAACCCCATTTCACCTCACCTCACCCATCATGCATATCACCTTCATGCGTCCCTTCCCTTCAAAATCAATGTTGGAGTTATATTACTAATGAAAAGAGTGGTAAGTTTAGAGTGTGGATGTGAATTGAACAAGCGTTTAATTCAAGACATCTTTTGAGCATTGATTGTATTTTTAATATCAGGCACTCTTAAACCTCCCTCTTCATAAGGTTTCATCATAACATTTCTACTGATTTTGTCTGGTTTATTTTTCCATATAAAACGAAAACACAGTGTTTCGAGTTCTTTTATAAACCTTTCACTGGGATTAGGTAGGGTTGAGAAAAGGTGGGTTAGTTTAGGTAAAATAAGACTTTTTAGTACTGTAATTCTACCTAATGGGGTCAGGTCACGTGCTAACCAAGAGTTCATGATGATTTTTAAACTTTTAAGTTTGTCCGTAATTTCTTTCTATTATTTCTGCCAAATTGTGAGTAAAAATAATACCGAGAGGAGTAAAACTTTTTCTTGGCCAATCTAAATTCCAACATTTGCACATAGTTTTATCAGAGAAGCGTTGTGAGCCAATCCACAACACTTGCGTTTTGCTTGTGTTAATTTTTAGGCCTGAAAAAGACGCATATGTTTGAAGAGTTGTCATGGTGTTTTGGAGACAATTTTCAGTTCCATCTAATATGAGAGATGTGTCGTCTGTGAAGTGTGAAATTAGATATTCTATCTCATCGATCTTAATTCCGTTTATATATTGATTAGTGCTAAGCCTTATTTCCAAAATTTCTGCTCATATTTAGAATATATAAGGAGATAACGGGTCACCCTGTCTACACCCTCTTGTTAGTCTAAAAAATCTGAAGCAAAACCGTTAACTTCAACACTAGATTTTATATCGTGATAGAATGTTGGTCCAAAATTAAAAAAAGGTCAAAGCTTCTTGGATGAAAACCCAGTCTACTGAACCGAACGCCTTTTCAAAGTCTATAAGTAACAATTATTCCCTTCTCTCCTCTCACTCCCATAGTCAGTAGGCCCACAAGGTTCTCCCTCCTGTCATGTATATCACTACCATGCTTACCTTCCCTCCTCTCCGCCCACTCTCATAGTCTTTGGATCCACTAGGCTCTGTCTCTGTGGCGTTCTCATACCTCAAGATTGCCAACTGTTTCGCTGACTTAACAGTGCAGTCTCCCATACCTCGACTTCGAATCCAGTAGTTGTCAACTGCCTTGTCAGCGTCCAGTATGAAGTCGTACCTACCAACACAGATAATTCACAGGATACAAGGTTTGACTTTAACAATTGAGGATTAACCCTGTAATAATCTGGTTTTGTATGTTAGAGACAGGATATGTTTTTGGTCACAGCTTCATGGCATACAACAGTTGTTCCTGAAGTTATTATTTACAAATTAAAATACAAAATGCAGCAAAGAGGGTTTGGGTGTTCCTGGCACAGTCAGGATGCTAAGGTTCATCACCAGATCAGCTCAGCTCACTGTGAACACTCCCGAACACTGCAGCCTTAGCATTACCAAGATTGTCAGAAGGGCTGTATTCCTGGTAGCAAACCCGGATACTCTCCCAATGTCAGACAACAGATTGGGAGGTACCAAACCTAAAGCACCGAGGACAATTGGGAGTCGGACAACTTGGTACTTGCGTGACATGTCGAAATTGAGGTTGGCATATTTGGCATGTTTTTCCTGCATCTCGTCAATCACATTAGTGTCATAAGGGACAGAAAACTCAATAATAAAAATGATCTCACTTGATTTATCAAAAAGGACAAGATCAGGTGTGGATACGTCTGAGGCTGTAAACGGGCCTATTCCAAAGGTTTTGTATTATTATTATTAGTATTATTATTATTATTATTATAGGTGGTGGTGGTGGTGCTGATGGTGATGGTGCTGGTGGTAGCAGTATTAATAGTATTGACACTCCTGCTTGCAAACCACAACTTTGGTACCTCTCTCCCGCCCAGATGTTGAATGAGCTGACAACGATTGGCTGGTGTGGCACACCATCTGTGGCAATCATGGTGATGTCGTGGTGGTCCACGGAGACCTGGATTGGGCAGTTCAGGATGCCGTTGCTGATGACGCGGAAGCGATACTTCTGGTCCTTCCTGACAATGAACACAGAATATGGGGTGTAGATGGTCTCGTTGGTGTCTGAAGTCGGGAACTCACGGAATGCTCCCCGACCTGGAAACAAAATGGAAACACGTGGAGAGCTCACTCCTACACGAGTGCTTCTACAAAGATGCCCAAATGACCAATTTTTTAACAGTTTGTCCGAACCACGTGTGTTAAGAAAAGTAACGGTATATCTACCTGTGTTAGTACAGTTTAAGTTATGAATGATTTCATATCAATTTATCAAAAAAGAAACACCCTGGTGCAGAAAAGCATACAACGCACAAATTATGTGACAAAAATAAAAGGCAACACATATCTCTATATTATTCTATATATTATATCAATGGGTATTTATTCCGCCCGCTATAAATGGTATCAAATGTACTCAGTATACCACTGTTTGGTTTGGGGGGCACGGGTGGCCCAATTGTCTATGCCGAGTTGCGTTATCGTTGGTTCGAATCTTTTACCAGCGAGTGAGGGCATGGGTGGCTACACGTACTTAAGCTGTTGGTTGGTTTGTTGTTTTACGCCGCACTCAGCAATATTCCGGCGGTCTGTAAATAATCGAGTCTGGACCTGACAATCCAGTGATTGATATCATGAGCATCGAAACACGCAATCGGAATCGATGACATACTTCAACCAAGTCAGCGAGCCTGACCACCCTCGTACGACAAGCATAATTGCTTTTTACGGCAAGCATGGGTTGCTGAAAACCTTTTCTACCCCGGATCTTCACGGGTCCGTACTTAAGCACCTCTTAAATGTTGTGGCCCTTAGACTTTCCATGATCCAACAATCAGTGGTCTGTCAGCACCACTCCCGTGTTTCAGCACGGGTAGACGCCTTCTATCTGCACCCTTTTCCTCCCACACCAAGCTGACGTGCCATGATATTACTGTAATAACTGTTGAAAGCGGCACTAAACCAAACAGTAATGAGTGATTGAAGATATGACGCTACCGTTGATAAGCATAGATGCGGGTTTGTTTTCGTATCCTGCGTGATGGTGGCCGGCAAACCTGTTGATGGTCAGTTTAACAAGCCAGTCGTGTACTATCATGGTGTGTTCAGGAAGGTCATGGTCATACAGGTGTGAGGATGGGTCACGTGACGGAGGTTCCCGGATGATCAGCGCCCCGAACAGACCGTCGGAGCGGTGGACGCCAGCATGACCGTGCCAGAAGTGAGTGCCTCGGTTACCGGCCTTGAACCTGCAGGAGCACACAAGATGAACAGTTACGGTTATGGAATAGCCTTTATTGTTGCAATATCTGGTTCAAAACAACAGCAACAACACTAATGATATTAACAGTAATAATTTTTAATGCACTGTAATCCATCAGATGAAGCATATTCAAAGCACTGCAATGTGCAAATGTATGACAATGATATACAAAGGAAGAATGGATAGATGATGACTGTGGACTAATGAGAAATATGAACACAATCTCAGATTAGAAGAGGTCTTCAGCAACCCATGCTTGCCGTAAAAGACGACTATGCCTATCGTGAGAGGCGACTAATGGGATCGGGTGGCCAGGCTCGCTGACTTGTTTGATGCATGTCATCGTATCCCAATTGTGTAGATCGATGATCATGATGTCAATCACTGGATTGTCTGGTCCAGACCGCCGTCATATAGTTGGATATGGTCGCTACCCTGTGCAGCGAATTGCTGCGTGAACCTTAGACGAGTTGGCGCTCGTGCTCCCTCTCCCAAAATGACAAGACATTTCGTAACACTTTTGCCCTTGCGAGATGTGTTGCAACTGATAAGTATTGCTCTGCTCATTGTACAAAATGATTTCCAGTACGATTCAATAAGTCGTTGACTATAAGATGGACAGAGGATGGGTGAGGAGGCTAGAACATATCGTGTGTGCTACGCAACAACGCACCTGTACTGGAACTTGGAGTAAGCTGACACTCTACAATAAGACAGGGGTAGATCCTCCAAGTCTCTTGACTAGAACATATATTTTGTGCACTACGCAACAACGCACCTGTCCTGGAACTTGGAGTGAGCTGCCACTCTACTTTAAGACAGGGGTGGGTCCAGCAAGTCTCTTGATCAGAACATATATATTGTGCACTACGCAACAACGCACCTGTCCTGGAACTTGGAGTGAGCTGACACTCTTCTATAAGACAGGGGTGGATCCAGTAGGTCTTTTGACCAGAACATATACATTGTGCACTACGCAACAACGCACCTGTCCTGGAACTTAGAGTGAGCAGCCACTCTACTATAAGAAAGGGGTGGGTCCAGCAAGTCTCTTGATCAGAACATATATGTTGTGCACTACGCAACAACGCACCTGTCCTGGAACTTGGAGTGAGCTGCCACTCTACTATAAGACAGGGGTGGATCCAGCAGGTCTCTTGGCCAGAACATATATATTGTGCACTACGCAACAACGCACCTGTACTGGAACTTGGAGTGAGCTGTTATTGGGCACTGGGTTACCATGCTGACGCCATCATGATGTTGATAACCTTTCTGGAAGACTCCGTGCCAGTGGATGGTGGTCCCCTCAGAACCTGCCAGCTTGTTGTCCACGTTGACAACGACCATGTCGTTCTGACAAACCTTGGGATAAGAGAAAAAGTTGGCGTGAACTAATTTTAATTGGAAGTGGATGTCGAGGCGATGAGATTTGAGAACCTGGCCAGACAAGGCGGTCGTTTCCTGCATGTGTGTGTGTGTGTGTGTGTGTGTGTGTGTGTGTGTGTGTGTGTGTGTGTGTGTGTGTGTGAATCAAACCCGGGACTGCGGCGAGATGAGCGACCACTTTAACCACCAGGCTACCCCACCGCCCTTCAGGGCTATGTCAGCTGGGAAAACAAAGGTATGCCGGTGCTCTCTCATGGTCAACTGTTGAATTATTCATATTCAATTATAATGATGTTTACAAAAGCGCTAATGTTACGTACTGAACACAAAACAAAATCCGTTTCGCAAACACCACGCTTACATCGGATGCTTGTAACGAACCTGAAACGGGACAAGTTCACACAATAATTCTTTATAGAGGGGCCATGCCATTCTGACTGTGAGGTACAGTGTTGTACTGGTGCATGAAAGCGTACGTTTATTGTACCAACCGTCACATAAAGATACATTTTAGCGTAGCTTGAATATGAAAATGTACTCTTGTTTCGATTCTCCCACAAAAACCTTCTCTACCAAGCCTTTTGGGGGTTTGTTATTTAACGCCGCACTCAACAATACTTCAGCTATATGACGGCGGCCTGTAAATTATCAAGTCTGGACCAGACAATCCAGTGATGGATATTATGAGCAACGATCGCTCTACCAACAAACTCCCTGTTGATCTCAAGATCTTAACTATTTAAATAAATCATTTCAAATTTTGTAGGAAAACATGCGATGCTAGCGGGGCTTGAACCGTTTCGTAAGATTTGCGGCCGTGTAATAGTCAAATTCGACTTCCGCGGCAAACGGAAGGACGATGTGAGATTAAGTATTTAATTTCAGATGAAACAAGATTGGATACTTGCTCCCCTACCAATCCCGACCCCACACCCCAAGCCCTGGTTGCATAAGTGTATACATAATTACAACACTTTTCATACCTTGATCATAAAACATTCGACCTTTCAATCATCGTGTGGTGCACACACTTTGCCAATCAAAAAATGACATTTCTGCAACAGTATTGTATTAAGTGGATAAATTTGAAAAGACGAGGGTGTACATATCAGTTTTGTTTGTTTGTTTGTTAATTAACACTGCACTCAACAGTATTACAGCTATATGACGGAGGTCTGTAAATAATCGAGTCTGGACCATACAATCCAGTGATTGACATCATGAGTATCGATCCACGCAATTGGGATATGATGACATGTACATATCCGTATTTTACTAATACAACCGTCGTAACTCTATATATTTTGGCCACTTTATTAAGACATGGTATTTGTCCTCTATATCGGTTTCACAAAATGAACACTATAATGTGGGACTCACCCATCCCCCTTTTAAATAATATGCGAGCCCCGTTAATTAATTCGCTGCTTAAATTCAGTAAAGAAATCCAGTTTCAGGTACAAGAAATTGACCCAGCCAAACATATCAGAAACCAAATTGGTTTAATATATTTATAACCAAAACGGCCCAACCTAATATCTTTTAAATAAATCTAAGTTGCCCTTTCAATTACATGCCTCCCTAAAACCCCGCACCTCACATCCATAGCACAATTGAGTTGAATTAATGATTGGAATAACTGGTACTGGATATCAACAGAAATATACTTATAACTATTAAAAACTCTATGCAATTAAAAAAAGCTTCCAAAATATTATACAGTTGTTTTTAGTTTTTTCGACATTCGAGAAAAACTACCAGAGGATGCAAACACAAGACCAAGATATTTTTAATTTAGTAACTACCTCTAATATATAGCCTCGTAAAACCATCTAGATATTTTTTTCTCCTTTCTTACAAATAACATTTTTAGTTTTCTCAACATTTACTATCAAACCCGACTTACTACAATACTCAAAGAGCATATCAAGACCTTCCTGTGGTCCATCAACACTTGTACTGAACAAAACCTTGTTATAAGCAAACAACAACAAAAGTGGCCGAATATTTAATATGTGGACACCCAGGTTCTGTGAAGAGGATAAATCTTGAGCAATATCATGCAGAAAGAAAGAGAATAATATTGGAGACGGATTCTCACCCTGCCTTACTCCGATACCAGAACTGAAATAATCCGAATGCGATTCATTCGCCATTTTAACGCACGACATAATTTTAAAATACATACTGCGTTATAAGTACAACATATTGTATGTTAACCCTGATGAATAAAGAATATACCAAAGAGCCTGAGTCTCATAATCGAACGCTTTGCGGAAATCTACGAATGCACAGTAAAATTGGGCACCTCTTGTTGGGCACATTCTAAAGTTCTGAACACGTTCAGGATGTTAACACATCTATGTGACAAGCCACTGACAAGGCAGGTGTTTAGTTTTATGATTTAAGCACACTATTGACGGTGTATCTGATGGATGCTGAATATGACTGAAGTGTATGAGAAAAACTTCTGATGTTATTGTCAGTATATTGACACTGGCATTTCTGCTATGACGCCGCTATGATGTCTACTGTAACCACAGAATCCCATGGCATGCCACCGTGGCGTTTCAAAGGCATATTAACAACTGTTACAGTTAGTATTGTTGTACCTCCGAGGACAAAAGTATTTCTTTGGGTACGACCCGTTAATATTTTCAGCCCAAATGGTTTCTAAAAAGCAGACTGTTCAATGGATGTCTTGAAAGAAATATTCCCCAAACACTCCACCATCAGCCTCTCCCCAACACACCGCACCCCACCCCCAACGCATCCCATCCCCCTCCCATAATTAAATCGTCGATCAGATCCTACTTGTATGGCAGGTCCTGGTAGCTTCCTGTTCGTCGTGATGATCCCCCTCCCCACGCCGTCAGCAGCAACGCAGTTGGGTCTGTAGCAGTCGGTGATGTTGTACGGGCAGTCGAAGCAGGCTTTGGTCAAGACGTAGTAGTATTCTACTGTGAAGTTGTACACGCAGGTCATGGTGGGCGCTCCATCCCCACACTCGCGCATACAGGGGTGGCTGGCATAATCTGAAATATACACATTGATGATAATTATTTACAAACATGTATTAGGCAAGATTTCTCAGGGGGACAAATTGTGCTCCTCTTCTTGCCGATCTGTTTCTGTATGCATATGAATCAGAATATCCACTAGGATCGGCAAATTCAAACCACGTGGATTTGACCAAGAAGTTTAACTTTAACTTCAGGTGTTTTTGGATTATCTGATATCGTTTAGTAATTGTAAAAGAAGGAAGAGAGTTTGTGGATGTCAACTTCTTTATTGTGAGGAACACAACGTTTCGGAGAATATACTTACTCCTTCGTCAGGTAAATAAATAATATAAAGCAGAGAATATATATATGTGTACCTGTAAGAACAACAAAAGTAATAAGATGACAAAGGTTGACACTTAGCAAGAAAAGCCAACAATTGCCGATAAGTGATAAGCTATGGACAAATGGAAGCCAACACTTAACAGTGACATGCGAACGCTTTACCCACTTGGCTACCCGATCGCCCCCCATAAGAAATGAATCAAGGTGGGTATTGTGATAATTTCAACCAAACGTTTCCTCTATAAATTGCATGGTTAAGATGGGGATGCATTCGCTGGTAAATTCAATTGCTAAACACTCACCTGATAGTTCGTATTCTCCTAAAGTGACACAAATTCCAGCAAATACCACAAACAATATACCAATCATGTTGGCAGTAACACCGAGAGGGAGGCGATTGTTCTACGGAGTTTCAGAGGTACCCGTCCCGTTCTTGCTACATGTAAGTGAATACTGTCAACACAAGACCGCCCGATATACGCCCGTCCTTGCTTGATACATTTGCATACTGTTAAGGACAGTCCTGATCAGTGCAGGTAATCTTACCCGACACCCATCTGCGCTTCCTCTCAAGAGTTCATAGATCATAGACAAGAGACTATATTCATGCAAGTGCACAATTGTAAACAAACATTTGTCACTTTGAGGTCAATATTTTCTCCCTCAGTATTACATCGGCAAAAAAATCTACAACAGACATGTAACAACTCTAATTATGTATTCAGTTCATGGAAACATAAGCGCAAATGTATTTGCCTTCAATCACTGTCAATAAATTATTTATATGAAGGTCAACATTAGAGGTCTGACAAATCTGAAAAGCTGGATTATATCTAGTTCTTTGTTATAATAATGACAATTCAATTCAAATGCAAAGTAGAAAGGCATTGAAAAATTAATAACGACCTTCAATGGGTCGTGTATTGATTAATTAAATGTCCTAATGTATCAGAGTGCCGGACCCACGACAACACAGGTAGTCTGTAAATACTCGTGTCTGGACCTGACGTTCCAGTGATTGACATCATAAGCATCGATCGACACAACTGGGAAACATCCATCAACCAAATGAGCGAGTCTGATCATCCGACCTCCTTAGTCAAGCAAGGGTTGCTGGGGACCAATTGTAACCTGGAACCTTCACGGGATCTGGTTCAAATGGGAAAATCAGAGGAAAAGATAAGTCCCATTAACCGACTTAACAGAATTCCCGTGTCTCAGAAAGTCAATCCGTGCAGAATTACCGATTCATAAGCATAAAGAAACAGATCGGCATTGAGAGGAGCACATTTGGTGCCCATAGTGATGCTTACTTTACCTTGTATCCGCAAACTTCACATATAACTTGTCAAGGAAGTCAAGCATGTCACAGATTGTTATCTCAATAAACACCAAATGATATTTGCTGTTATTTTTGGCATCAATAACCTTTAGGAAGTCTAGCATGTCACAGATTGTTATCTCAATAAACACCAAATGATATTTGCTGTTATTTTTGGCATCAATAACCTTTATACTACAATCATAAACAACCAGGTGAATCTGTGGAATGCTGACAAGGTAGACTTTTTTATAACGGTAATCCTCCATCCACTTTGATGAAGAAGTATCAGCATAAGTATGACTGTTGGGATGTATTCCTTGTCTGACACAATGTGAAGTCTGGTTTCTTTTATGATTGTTGTCATATACATGGGCATCACATGCCTGACTGAAATTATCAATTGCCTATATTATGCAAATGTAACTACTGCCTGGTTGGTAGAATATTTTTATTGAAGGATCAGATAGTTCATCTGTGGGGGTGCTGCGGGCAGATTAGGTCCCAAGATTAGGGGAGGGAGGGGGCTCATAATTTTGTGTAAATATAAAACTCATCCTCCATCAGCTTTATACAAAATTAAATCAGCCCCAATTAAAAGTCTCGACCACAGTATATCCATCCTCATCAATACAGACTATTTCGTGATCATTTCAAATCTTCCAATTCAAGAGGCCATAACAGTTGTTGACTGTGATGGACAATGACCATTAATTATCATATACCCTTACTTGGAAACAGGAAGATACTTGTGAGGTCAAAAGACATTAATTAACAACAACCTTTAACAACAACATTAACCTTAGCATGTTATTTGTCACTGCCAAACTGTTTGGGTGTGAATGAACAGTACATCGTTCCTTTTATATCAATATCTTTGTAGGCTGGCATGCTGCAAGTGCAGCAAAAGTATCACTTCAAACTCAACTTCCATTGATCTGGGTAATGTAGCATGGGCATTACTCAGCAAACTGCTGTGGTTGAGTTTGGGCAATTGATTCTCAACCATTTTGTAACATTATTCAGGGTTTTGGACCAAACATGTACAACTTTAATTTTGGTAGGGTTTCTTTTTTTCCGTCAGTTTACACCAAAAGACATGCTACTTATGTCCATCATCCATATCATCTTTATGAAGCAAACCCGTGAAGATTCCAGGGTAGAATAGGTCTCCAGCAACCCATGCTTGCCATAAAAGGCGACTATGCTTGTCGTAAAAGGTGACTAACGGGATCAGGTGATCAGGCTCGCTGACTTGTTTGATGCATGTCATCGATCGCAATTGGATGGATCGATGCTCCTGATATCAATCACTGGATTATTTACAGACCGCCGGCATATAGGTTGAATATTGCTGAGTGCGGCGTTAAACAACAAACCAACCAACCAACCAACTTTATGAAGCAACAAGGAATTGTTTGACTACTGTTCTCAATTTGACAGTTTTGGTTTATTGGAAGTTTAGAAGAACTGTAGTCAAGAGAACATTGAAACATGGTATAATGACTACCAGGTTTATGTTAACCATAAGGACTAAAGCTTCCTCGGTGGGGTTGCTGTGTGTATTCCTCCTGGACTTGGTCGTTATATCAAACATGTTGTTCGGGGCAGAATACATGTAAGTGCAATAATCTTGAACGCGACGTTAAACACCATTTCATCAACAAGCAAGGTATAATTATATGTATTTAATTCATAGACAAGAACATCTGATAATCAAACGTCTAAAATGTTTTTAAATATTTATGCTATATTTTACTAGGACATTTAAATGTGTATTTAAAAAATTCAATACTCATGACCAATGAACAACATTTACTTGGCCTTCTCTTTTCTCTGCACATGCATGGTGCGGTGAAATCTGACAGGAGATACATTCTAATGGAAGTTAAGATAATAATTATTGCAGTGAGTTAGTTGGTTGGGTTTAACGCCGCTTTAATAACAGTATTCGGGTTATATCGCGGTGTGTCAGCTTAATGTGGGAGGAAAGCCCGAAGTGATGCAGGCCTCAGATAATTATTGCAGACCCAGGTGTCGGAACAAAACGATACAGAATGTAACAATTATGTTGTTTTGGCTTTACAGTTTTACACGGCACTGTGGCTTGTAAATAATTGAGTCTGGGCCTGACAAACCAGTTCTTGATATTATGAGGTACATCCTGACTCAATGTTGTAGAGGCTTGTGGGGGTAGCTAAGCAGTTGAGGCGTTCGCCTGTTATGCCAAAGGCCCGGGTTCGATTCCCCACATTGGTACAATGCTCATTTCTGTTGTCCACTGGCATGGTGTTGCAGGCATATTCAATCAATCTCGCTATCAACATTGTTGGGCCGAGGTTGGTGTACGGGCCTGAACATTAATAACATTTTTGACATCTTACTGTGCCCCCTATAATGTCATGAAATTGTGAAATGTATGCAGCAGTGCAATATTTACTGTTCAAAATTGATACTGTCCGAATGTTTAGCACGAGTGGTTTCGTGTAGTGTTCTCCACTCAAATACACCAAGGTGCCCAAGATTAAGTAATACTTACTTACAGTGTTACTAAAGATTTGACAAAAAGCACTTGATCAGGAAACTTCACAGATCTATTAGGATCTGGTACTAATTATGATGAAGAAATCGTATTTGTTTTACTTATATCTCACAAAATAAACATCAAAAGTCATTGGAGACAAGCACCGAACGTTCATCCGATCTCCATGCATAAAACAGTCCGTGACGAGACACAATGATGGCACTCCCTGTGTGTTTAGATTATATAGTTGCCTTGTTGGTAAATATATTATATATCTGAGTATGTATTCAGTACCAATGGGATGAGCGACGGGACTGGTGTAACGTAACACATGTAGCCGAAATCCAAAACGACGTCGAACACTTTCAGTACGTTGACGATCTTTTTAAAATCATTTAGTGTAAAGTAAAGTAAAGTAAAGTAAAGTAGAGAATAGCAGAGTAGAGTCACATATGTCATGATGCAGATAATACGACGTACCTCAGTAAGTCAGTCACAATGACAGTGCGTCATAATACATTTACATCAAGTCCTACTACAAGACGTCAAAATGGCCGCCATGATAACCCTGTCGGGAGAGATTTTGGAAGTTGTTAATTAACCTGTGGCAGTTAAAATGGCCGCCATGATAAACGTGTCGGGAGAGATTTCGGAAGTTGTTAATTAACCTGTGGCGGTTGTGTTAATTAGACACTAAGGTAAATTCTTAGATTGCTGTAGACTGTCACTGTCATCCTAGACAGGGTTCGCGTCAATACTTCGATACTGTGGATGTGCATTTCTTTGTTTTGTTCATTAAGGTTCGGTCGTAGCGAGGATATTCGTAAACGATGATGCAGTCAATTTCTCTGACGTTGCTCAGTGTGCAATGAAACGCTGAGTTTAAGATTAAAGTGAGTGAGTGAGTGAGTTGGGTTTTACGCCGCTTTGAACAGTATTCCAGTTATATCGCGGCGTGTCAGCTTAATGTGGGAGGAAAGCCCGAAGTGATGCAGGTCTCAGACGTTTACCACTTCGGTGAAACCCACGAGCACGGGTATGGTGCTGACAAACCTAGAAACATAATTGGGGCGAACCGGGATTCGAACCCACAATCATAGGTTTCTGGCGTGCCCAAGGGACGCAACTCTGCACAGCGAATCGCGGCGCCTTAGACGACTGGGCCACCCGTGCCCCCTTAAGATTAAAGGGTCTAAATGATCAGAAAGAACGCTTCTGTATGTATTCGTGCAAGGGAATTCCCAGGGGTCTCCCTAGGAGTGTGGAAGTAGTCTGTCAGTGTTGTACACATTCCAAGAACACGGTCTCGAGGAAAAACGTACGAACGTCAAATTGTGTCGTTCAAACACTTATGAACGATAATTTTGTGGTCATGTGACCGACCTCTCGTACAATTGAAAAGCTGTAAACTTCAAATTAAAACAATTATGACGAATTGTACTAAAAAATGAAACAGTGTGACACCCATGAACATTACACATTATGTATGCATCACTGACGGGATCCAGATTATGTAAGAACGTGTTTTTGAATATAAACGTGTTATGTCTATTCGGATAGAACTGTCTCATAATCAGCAAGCATGCTATGTTTATGTATTGCTTTCTCAAACCGAGAAATAAAATACCTGAATACATATTAGGGTCACAATTGTATGTACACAAGGTCAAGGTTTCTTTGGGGAGGTCCTCGTTGAAAGTATGTGTCAGTCGATATCACGTGTTGTGTGAATGCCCTCTAATTCTGTATAGTCAGCTAAATTAGTACTCTAAGATGCTTTGCTAAAATACCAAAGATGCTAAAATACACGTGACTAGGGGCTGACGTCATGACGCTGTTCGACTTACCTCCCGCCGTAAGTTAACATACCCATGGTAACGTCATTACCTTGGTTCTGTCATTCTTTTTAATCAAGATCAATTATCGATCCAGGATATAGCTTCATTTAAAGAAACAACTTGTTGGGTCATCAGCTAACATTCCCAGGGATGAAATATGCCAAGGAAGTTCATTATTATAAAACTAAGGAACTGGTTGCCGTAAAAAAATGTACTCAAGCACAAATTAGCCTTCGGTAACAATGCCCGCAGCCAGATGCTGACATGGAGAATCCTCATATATCTGAGACTAATGTTGAAACATGTCTTATAAATGCCAGAGAAATTAGATAAGATTTTTGCTGTTTTCCCGCCATGTTCGTCCCACGGTGATCGCCAATTCACTTCTGGTCACCTCGTCCCAACCCGTCGATTAATGTCAGTCAGGATAAAGTATCCTATATCTGCCTTTATTCCTCCATAGGAGAGTACACGATGAGGTATTAGTGACTAGTGAAGAAGAACGATTTTACATGGATTGAGGGTCGCTTTGGAAGTAGTGTCTGATTTTAATACCGTTAATTGGAACAGTCCTTGGTCCTCATTGGGCAGAGAAACAAGGGGATTGGCAGGACAGGAGACTGCAGACAAGATCAGTGTCGGATCTGTCTTGGAATTGGACACTGAGATCAACAGGACCGATGTTGATAATGTCACACCACAATATGTGTTTCATGATGCTTACATAAAGGCTCACATTGACGCAGGACGTGGGTCAGAAGAAACAACGTGGAAAACGTGGTCATAGTGATGCAGATGACTGAAACAAGGACAGCGTCGTGACTGTATAGGCACGCTGTCGAGCATGCAATACTGGAGTCGTCGATGTAAAGTGTAAGCACGTTTGGCCACTTGGTTAAAGAGACGATTTTGAAAACCTCAATGTTTAAACGGGTAAAAGATAATAGACAACTTATCATGCAGCACAAGCTCAGGTCAAATGAGTGGCATGTGTCAGTAGCAGGGGGTACGGGATGTTAGCAGATGAATGGACACTTGCCGTGACAATTTACCATGCTATAAGCTCGAACTTAAGTTTACTTTCAGATCATATGAAGTACACGTGTCAGTACCGGGTGTACGGGATGGTAGCAGACGAATGGACAATTACCGTGACAACTTACCATGCAATAATCTCGAACTTACGTTTACTTTCAGATCATATGAACTACACGTGTCAGTACCGGGTGTACGGGATGGTAGCAGACGAATGGACAATTACCATGACAAATTACCATGCTATAAGCTCGAACTTACGTTTACTTTCAGATCATATGAACTACACGTGTCAGTACCGGGTGTACGGGATGGTAGCAGACGAATGGACAATTACCGTGACAACTTACCATGCTATAAGCTCGAACTTACGTTAACTTTTAGACCATATGAACTACACGTGTCAGTACCGGGTGTACGGGATGGTAGCAGACGAATGGACAATTACCGTGACAACTTACCATTCTATAAGCTCGAACTTACGGTAACTTTTAGACTATATGAACTACACGTGTCAGTACCGGGTGTACGGGATGTTAGGAGATGAATGGACAATTACCGTGACAACTTACCATGCTATAAGCTCGAACTTACGGTAACTTTTAGACCATATGAACTACACGTGTCAGTACCGGGTGTACGGGATGTTAGGAGATGAATGGACAATTACCGTGACAACTTACCATGCTTTAAGCTCGAACTTACGGTAACTTTTAGACCATATGAACTACACGTGTCAGTACCGGGTGTACGGGATGGTAGCAGACGAATGGACAATTACCGTGACAACTTACCATGCTTTAAGCTCGAACTTACGTTAACTCTTAGACCATATGAACTAAACGTGTAAGTACCGGAGTGTACGGGATGTTAGGAGATGAATGGACAATTACCGTGACAACTTACCATGCTTTAAGCTCGAACTTACGTTAACTCTTAGACCATATGAACTACACGTGTAAGTACCGGGGTGTACGGGATGTTAGCAGATGAATGGACAATTACCGTGACAACTTACCATGCTATAAGCTCGAACTTACGTTAACTCTTAGACCATATGAACTACCCGTGTAAGTACCGGGGTGTACGGGATGTTAGCAGATGAATGGAGTGGAGGTCGAGATTGAAGGTCGAGAGGTGTACACGAACGTTCAGCTCGTAAAATCCCGTACAGCACTGACAACATGGAATATATTTATCATGAGGTGTTCACAAGTACAGAGATTATTTTGTGAAATATGTTTGTGACAAGACCCGATCCGAATTACGACCGCCAATGGGTCAGTAAGGTAATTGAAGCTCTGTGCAGGGTCGATAATCACGACAAACAGATGACGTTATGATGATGACGCCGGCCGACTGAATCGTATGTCTTAATTTTCAAGCGGGTAACTGTCCAATCAGATTGTTGGATTTGACGAGGAATGGGAATTGTGGATGACGGGAATTACGTATAGGATCTATGAATCGATACATGCTTGAGCATTACCTCTGAATACAGGTATAGGGCCATAAACAGGGCATACGTATACTTCATTGATGAGTGGAGGGAAATGACTCGTCCTTACTTCATGGAACTTTATGTAAAGGTAGTCCTCGAGTGAAAATGTTAAGCGCATACTCACAGTTTCATGGTATTTGTATGACCACTAATGTTTTCTACATACATGTTCTAAATGGTATGTAGTTATAACACTGCAATTTACAGAAAGGGAATTTATTGTGATTTATTTAAGGACATGTGTTAATTCATGTCTTCAAGCCTGTCGGTGTCGCTCGATTGAGTCCTCTAAAACAAGTATCAACATAAAGGTCAATGATGCATGATGAACATGTTGTTCACGACATAAATGTCATCCACTCTAATCAGAGTGTACCCAGTGGTTAAAGCCTTCACCCGAGACGCTGAAGACCCGGGTTCGATTTCGCAGATGGGTACATTGCGCGTAGCCCATTTCTGGTGTGCGGGAATATTGCTAAAAGCGGCGACAAACCGTACACACTCACGTTGGAGACATACAAGTTCTGTCACATGCTTGTACAAAGTAAATAAATATTTTATTAGTCATGTATACATGATAACATACGTGTAAGGGATGACAACAGCATAAGCTCAATGCACGATCAAAAAAGGACATATTGCAAAACTATCACAAATCTCAGCCCGAAGTTCTTTACAAATGATATACTGCACACTGAGGACTGGATTTCATAACTCTATCATTATACAGTGAACCCGAGCGTTGGGATTCAAACCACCGACGCCTGTCTACATGACAAAAGTGGAAGGTCTAACCAAAATTAATATAACGATGACATCTTTGAGATGGCTGTACACCTCGCTTCAGAAACGCTGTGCACTGAACACGTACAATCATCTTCCCATGTAACAGATTTCCAGCACACAAACCAAACCGATCCCCAACCCCACCCCATCTCCCCGTAATAACATGTAGGTTATATTTTTTTCATTACACCTCTCCCTATAATACATGAGCAGTCCTTAAATAATGTTTAAATTTTAATATTGTTTTAAAAACATGTGTCCGTTTTTCATGCCCAACCCCCACACACCCCTACAGTGTGATAAATCTCCCCCCCCCCCCTCTTCCTGTGTCCTTTTTTCATGACCACCCAGCATCTTAGTCCCCCCCTGCCAGCCAAACATCCGACCATCCCACCCCCTCCAATCCCCAATAATAAATTACCTGTCCCTAGCTACAATAAAATTCGATGTAAATGAAATAAATTCTGATCTTCTTCAACAGCAAGTACTGTACCAGCGTATCTGCATGACCACTGAGAAAAACGCCTTGTGAATTCTTAATTAGTAACAGCGGCTGGTTAACCTCGAATTTACTATCCTGCCTGGTATAGAGCGGGTATATTTCATGTTGAATGTACATTGATGGATTTTGACAGAATAAAAATATGCAGAAATACTACATATGACAGAATAAATTGGTACTTTGGATGGTGTATGTTGGATTTCTTTCGTAATATGTGTAAATGTATGACAGAATAAAAATATGGAGAAACCCATGTTTCAATATTTTCTTTTCTTGACTAATGTCTGAAAAGTGGGGTATATGTGGGTGATATCATTCCGATGAAGAGTTAGGTAGATGTAATAGTGCAGTGCATTCAATCATGTCTTTCATTTGTTTAAGCTGGCTGGAGATTGACCAATATTTCAGTGTCGGCGCCAAGACCACGTGACACTGATCACTTCCCCCTTGACCAGTGTCTCGCTCGCCATTTTGAGACAAGTCGATGATTATGAGTCAGAGTGTTAGGCAGATATATTGGCTTTGTAACGTCTTAATGTTATTTTTTCACGACTGGCAAAATTATAAACCTTATAGCACGTGCTCAATGAAGAAGGAAGGTTAGTAAAGTTTGCCAGTGTAAAACAATATTTTTTTTGTTCTATTTACCTGTCAACTACTTTTTGTTGTATTGCCAAAATGAGCCTAAAATAAACTGAAAATCGTTATATGTTAGCTTTCACCAGTATTATTTATGGCATTTGTTATTTTTCTTGTTTTTTTTGCAAATTGTATTCAGAAGCTTGTAAGTTGTGAGTTCAGTGGCATCTAAATGTAGAAATGGCTATATACGACTACGAATATACACCACAATGCTGGTAGCCACAACGATTCTTCATTAAGTCCAGCTCCGCTCACGGGGCACCTGGGCTCCTCCTCCTCCTCCTCCCCCGTGTACTCCCAGTTCCCACACCGGGGGAAGTGTTTTGGGGGTCGGGGCATCTGATTCAGCTCCCCCACCTGTACGATGAGACCCATCCCGATTGACACGTGGAAGTCGATGTGGCAGTGCATCAGCCAGAACCCTGAATAACAGAAATAAAGAATAACATATCCAAACGTATCCAAGCCCTCCACATTATCATCGTGCATCATCTACCATAACATATTGAGCATGTATCCCCCACCCGAAATATAGAGACCACCTACATAGGTTATCTGCATTTATTGTGATGTTCGTGGACCACCTACATTGGTTATTTGCAATTAATGTGATGTTCGTCGACCACCTACATGGGGTATCTGCAATTAATGTGATGTTCGTCGACCACCTACATGAGTTATCTGCAATTATTGTAGTGTTCGTCGACCACCTACATCGGTCATCTGCAATTATTGTGATGTTCGTGGACCACCAACATGGGTTATCTGCAATTATTGTGATGTTCGAGGACCACCTACATGGGTTATCTGCAATTATTGTGATGTTCGTGAACCACCTAAATGGGTTATCTGCAATTATTGTGATGTTCGTGGACCACCTACATGGGTTATCTGCAATTATTGTGATGTTCGTGGACCACCTACATGGGTTATCTGCAATTATTGTGATGTTCGTGGACCACCTACATGAGTTATCTGCAATTATTGTGATGTTCGTGGACCACCTACATGGGTTATCTGCAATTATTCTGATGCTCATTGACCACTTATCCGGGTCATCTGCAATTGTTTCTGATACCCGTAGACCACCTATCAGGATTATCCTCAATTGTTGCGATATCCGTAGATTACCTCCCCGGATTATCTGCAATTAATCTGATGCACATGGACAACCTATCCGAATTGCTTCTGATTAATCTGATGCACATGGACATGCTATTCGAATTATTCCCGATTAATCTGATGCACATGGACAACCTATCCGAATTATTCCCGATTAATCTGATGCACATGAACAACCTATCCGAATTGCTTCTGATTAATCTGATGCACATGGACATGCTATTCGAATTATTCCCGATTAATCTGCTGCACATGGACAACCTATCCGAATTGCTTCTGATTATTCTGATGCTCGTGGACCACCTACCGGGTTTATTATCATGAAATCATCCACTCGTGGACCACCTACCAAGGTTATCAGCATGAAATCATCCACTCGTGGACAACCTACCAGGATTATCAGCATGAAATCATACGCTCGTGGGCCACCTACCTGGGTTATCAGCATGAAACCTGATGACTGTATACCCTCCATCCGGAACCGTTACAGTGTCTTTAGCTATAGGTGTTTCCAGGTTCCTTTCAATCTGACCATCTGCATCCATCTGTTTGATCTCCTCTAAAGAGGTTGACTCGTTGACCTGGTTAATAGGATCTCTGAATATCAGGGGAACATCACCGTGACATAGTGTAGAAATAGGACCTTGTAATTTGCTTTTCGGTGTATGATCAATTCATATTTCTGCTAACTCCAAACATACTAGACATATAAGGACCATTTGAACCAGTTCATTCTTCTGAGGGGCGGTCGGGTAGCCTAGTGGTTAAAGCGTTCGCAAGTCACGCCGAAGACCCGGGTTCGATTCCCGACATGGGTACAATGTGTGGAGCCCATTTATGGTGTCCCCCGACGTAATATTGCTGGAATATTGCTTAAAGCGGCGTAAAAACATACTCACTCACTCACTCATTTTTCTGAGGTTCGTAAGTCACATTAATGTCACCATTTATTGAATAAAAGAAGGAACTTTGGAAATGTTTGTTTGTTGTTTAACAATTGTAATTCTAATAATCGTGCTGTACCAGACAATCACGTTGTTGATAGCCACGCCATCGGGTACGATGTCACGAAGTCCCAATTTGAGTCACCGAGCCTGACCACTCAATCCATTATGTGGGAGACCCGTGAAGATTCGGGGTAGAATAGGTCTTCAGCAACCTATGAGTGTGTGTGAGTTGGGGTTTAACGTCGCTTTTAACAGTATTCCAGTTATATCACGGCGTGTCAGCTGAATGTGGGAGGAAAGCCCGACGTGATGGAGGTCTCAGACGTTTACCGAACACGGGTATGGTGCTGACTTGCCGTAACAAGCGACTATGCTTGTCGTAAGAGGCGACTAATGTGATCAGGTGGTCAGGCTCGCTGACTTGGTGCGGCGTTAAACAACAAACAACCAACATTATGTGGGAACTATTTAATCCGAAATCCTAACACGATGTTTTTCGGAAGTGAGATTAATCCCAAATAAGTTTCTTACTTATTTAAAGAGATTACAACACGAGTGTCAGTCAGATAGCATTTATAGTATCTAACGAGCAAAAGCAGCATTAATACATAACACAACGGTCATGAATACTGTACCTTACTGTTTGACAGAAGCACGAAAAACGTATCAATGACCAATGAAAAACGTATCAATCAGAAAAGAAGTCCCTCATAATCGGACATTAGGTGATCACCATATCATTGAGTAGCCAATCGCGGACCTGGAATTTGATCTCACACATATGATTGATACCAATTATCTCAAATCCTTTTCTCACCCATAGGTCTATGAGCAAGGTCATTCTTAAACTCTACAACAACGTTCATAACCTCTACTAAGCTATGAGTGAGTGAGTATGGTTTTACGCCGCATTTAGCAATATTCCAGCAATATCACGGCGGGAGACACTAGAAATGGGCACCTTCTACCCATGTCGGGAATCGAACCCGGGTCTTTGACGTGACGAGCGAACGCTTTAACCAATAGGCTAACCGACCGCCCACTAAGGAATGCGGGTGGTGCTTTATAGCTAACTGTTCGTTATAGCTAAATTTAGTGATTTGAAACAAACTTCCGAAACGGCATCATTTACAAACGATCATCCGTTGTTGACAGGCGTTTATTGTTTGTTTGTATATATTATGCATAACTTTAGTTCGTCACGATATGGCCTCAAAACTGCCGATGTGACTATAAATCATAACTCACTCACTCACTACAAACGATCTAATGGATACTGTCACTGACAGCTTCATATTATGGCTCACCCTGTCCATAGCGACCACCCGGAAGTGATGGCCATGTAGATGTATGGGGTGGTTGGCGTTGAAGGCGACGCCTTCATCAATGAGCACCATCTCCACGGTGTCGTCCAGGTCCACCTTGATGATGTGGATACACTCACAGAACTCCTGGCTGCAGTTCCTGGTGTTGTGGGGGCCGCAGAAACTGTCCTACAGGAAAAGGTATCCGGACTATAACGTTCCAATGTCTTCATGACCTTGTGTTTTAATAATGATCCTGTTTATTTGCAGCATAGAGTCTCTGGGATGGTAAGAACAGACATGTCCTACGGGAGGAGACATCTGGACCTTACAAGATCTATATAACCTCATGTGTGGATAATGATCCTGTTTATTTGCAGCATAGAGTCTCTGGGATGGTAAGAACAGACATGTCCTACGGGAGGAGACATCTGGACCTTACAAGGTCTACATAACCTCATGTGTGGATAATGATCCTGTTTATTTCCAGCATAGAGTCTCTGGGATGGTAAGAACAGACATGTCCTACGGGAGGAGACATCTGGACCTTACAAGATCTACATAACCTCATGTGTGGATAATGATCCTGTTTATTTCCAGCATAGAGTCTCTGAGATGGTAAGAACAGACATGTCCTACGGGAGGAGGTATGTGGGCTAAAGCGTTCCTTTTTATATTTACGATTTCTTCTTTGGTCGATGTATTTTAAGGCATACTTTGTAGTTTTTCGTGCCAAAGAAACAGTACTAGTGAAAATGTAATATGTTCCCGAAAATGGTGAAAAATGGTTTTGTAGTGTTCCAGAAAAAACCCAAAAAAACCAGACATGCTTCTCCTTCTGACGAAATAATGTTTTGAGGGTCTCCAAGTGTGTTGAAGTGCTGTCTGAAAAACATATTTTTTCTCAAATATAAAACCCAACGAATCCCAAAAATATGAAACAGTTGATGTTTCACATAGAAGACATCATGCCATTCATGTTTCGTCAAGCTGGATGAGGAAAACACTGCAGGGCAAAAGAAAATGTCACCCACGTTTGATGGTGGCTAAACATGAAGTTCACAAGAAATGGTTAATCGATGGTGATCTATGTGATACGGGTACCACAGCTGTGCTTTTGACCTTGTGTTTTCAGTGTTTCGGCGACTGTCTTCATGGAATCCTTTTATGGCCATTTTTTTTCATACTATCTTGAAATTTCAACTTAAGTCTTCTATATCTTGAAATTTCAACTTAGAATCTTGAAATTTCAAGACAGCATCTTAAAATTTCAACTAAGTATCTTGAAATTTCAAGACAGCATCTTGAAATTTCAACTTACAATGTAGTATCTTGATATTTCAACTTCTTTATCTTGAAGTTTCAACTTAGTATCTTGAAATTTCAAGGTAGTATCGAAAAAACAAAAAAACAAAAAAACAAATGGCCCTAAAAGGCTTCCGTAGCCTAGTAACATTTTGATGACATTTTTATTTTGTTTTTGTCAAATCCAGTTTTCAAGTGTATACTTTTTTTTGCCCCGCAGTTAAGTAAATGTTTGTTTTAACTCACCTTGGGTATATCAGCAAACTGGGACAGTGGCGGGGATGGCGGTTGACTATTGCTGATATGATTCATCTGTGGTAAATACAGCCTTTTATCCATGTTAACGGCAGCCAAGGGATAGAAATCTTTATGATGGAACACATAGTTGTCTATTGTGTAGAAGTCCATGGCAGTGTAAAACTTCTTATCGGGCACCTGTTTCATGTGGAGGGGGTCTGCCAGGGTGGTGTTCAGCCAGGACACGGGGGTCAGTTCAGGGGAGCCTTTTTTGTTCCAGGGGTTCAACAGCTAAAACATAGATTATTCAATACAATATACAGCTTGAAACCGTATAGTTCACAATGAACCTTAAATTATCGGTTACATTAGTGAGCGTGAATATGGTTAAGCACATTTAGCAATATTCCAGCAATATCATCGCGGGGGAAACCAGAAATTCGCTTCACAAATGGTATCCATGTGCGGAATCAAACCCGGGACTTTTTAACGCTTTAACCACTAGGCTACCCTACCCTTGACAAGGACAGGGAGAGGGTGGTGACTCATTGTTGTTTACCGCCGCAATCAGCGGTATTCCAGCTATTTCACGTCACCATGTAAGTGGTCGAACCTGGACCAAGGAAACCAGTGGATGATCCACAGCAACGGAACGTGATGAGAAGCAACAGAGCTACCCGATTCAATTTAGATTCTTCTTCAGCTGATAAGTAAAGAGGTGATAGAAACCTATTTTAAACTCAGTTCAATTCAGGGAAGGGAAGAGGAAGCTGCCTTTCGGGAAGGTTTCGGACCTGCTTCACAGTCTATAGGAAACATTTCAGGCATGTACACAGATATTGAAGAGATATATACACATGCTCACAATTATAGTCACCCATTTACTAACAAGCATTACATCTAAGGGTTACAATAATTATCAGCATGGGTATACTCGAGAAACGGACTGAGCCCTCAAATGCAGGTATTTCTGGACGTCTCTGGTGTAGAAGTGTTACCATTCGCATAAAGAAAGGGTATGTTTTTGCATCAGAGTTTATAGCAGACAATCCATTGATTGATATTATAATCACACGCCGACAGTTGCGTCCCTTGGGCATGCCAGAAACCTATTATTGTGGGTTCGAATCTCTTTTCGCCCGATTTTGTTTCTAGATTTGTCAGCACCATACCCGTGCTCGTGGGCTTCACCGAAGTGGTAAACGTCTGAAACCTGCATCACTTCGAGCTTTCCTCCCACATTAAGCTGACACGCTGTGATATAACTGGAATACTGTTAAAAGCGGCGTTGAACCCAACTCACTCACTCACTAGTATAGTTTGCAGTCATGTATGTGACCTCTGTCGTGATTACCTTCCCTCCTCTCCGCCCACTCTCATAGTCTGAAGGTCCACTCGGTTCCGTCTCTGTGGCGTTCTCATACCTCAAGATGGCCAACTGTTTCGCTGACTTAACAGCGCAGTCTGCCATACCTCGACTTCGAATCCAGTAGTTGTCAACTGCCTTGTCAGCGTCCAGTATGAAGTCGTACCTACCAACACAGACAATACATTCCATACAAGATTGAGTGTTAAGGGTAAACCATAAACTATTCTGGTTTGGGCGTTGGAGACATTTTTCTGTCAAAGCTTCGTGAGAAAACATACAATTTCTTTTCCGGAAAAAGAGAAGCATAATACAGTGGACAAATAGATTTCTTTTATTAAAACCCGAGGCACACTTATTATTTGCATTATTTTCTACAACAGACGCTCGGTCACTAAAGTCCCTGAATTACATTCAAGCACTTAATGTGCAGGTTCGATTGGGAAGTATGGAATGGTTGCTAAAACAATTGACATAAAGAGATCTCATATAGGTGTAACATGTCTTTTGAATGTCTAAGAAGGGATACTTAGGTGTTATGGTTAAAAGTTGCAGAACCCATTTCAGAATTAGATAGCAATTGATTTTCCATGATTATTATTATTTGCAGATTAAAATAAAAAATGCAGCAAAGAGGGTTTGGGTGATCCTGGTCAGGCTGGTTAGGCTCATCGTCAGCTCAGGGCCCTTGCCCCTCCACACGCAGCCCAGACAGCGAATGTGCCTTCTCCCAGGAAGCCCTGCCTAGTCAAACCCACCTAGGACGTTGCGGAGAATGTGAAGACTCCCCAACACTACACCTTTATTATTAAATATGTCACCAGATACTTCTGCTTTCAAAACCACAACCATGGTACCTCTCTCCCGCGAAGATGTTGAAAGAGCTGACAACGACAGGGTGGTGTGGCACACCATCCGTGGCAATCATGATGATGTCGTGGTGGTCCACGGAGACCTGGATGGGGCAGTTCAGGATGCCGTTGCTGATGACGCGGAAGCGGTACTTCTGGTCCTTCCTGACATTGAACACAGAATACGGGGTGTAGATTGTCTCGTTGGTGTCTGAAGTCGGGAACTCATGGAACGCTCCCCGACCTGGAAACAAAATTATGAGAGTAAACTTCTTCATATCTGTGTGAATACAGGTTATTTTATGAACAATGTATGTAAATTTATGGAAAAGGAAACTTACAACGGTCAAATTATATGGCAAAAATGAAAAACAACAGGCATCTCAATATATAAGAATACTACACGATAAATCGCAAAAAACAATCAAGAACGAAGTGTGGTTTATTTCTCGATAATACATTGTTCTATCATGGCGTCATTTCTGGAGATTCGAACATGCGCTCGCAACTTGATGACGTCGTATATCGGACGACCTTATTTTTGAGAGGGGAGTGCCTTGTGAGGTGTTCCCCATAGATGTAGCTGGGTAACGCGATGGCCGACCGGTCGCATCCAAAAACTGGAGAGGTATTGGAGAAAAGGTACAGGTAACCGACGTGAGGATTGTGAAAATATGTGGGAAATACCCACATGTGCATTAAATGAACTTGTCCGACATAGCTTGGTTCGGATTATATTGAGTGAGTCATCATTATTTGAATATTGGAAATGTTTTTAAAGCTTGAATTGTTTTTGTCATTCTTATAGAGGCTGTACTTAATGTTGATATAGCATATGAAAATAACGACTCGTGGTCGTTGTTTATTGTACAATAAAAGACTGCAGGAAGTACTAACCACTCGGGGCTGCGCCCCTCATGGTTTATTCTCCTTGCAGTGCGTTATTGCAAGATAAACAACTCTCACTCGCTCTTCATTTATTAATTAACGTGCCTGTATACTGCCTTCCATAAATCATATCAACATGTACCCAGTAAGCTTCTGTATGGTCTGGGGGGCACGGGTGGCCCAGTGGCCCTGTGGTCTAAGGCCCTGCGCTGGTTTGAGTACCAGAAATCTATTGTCCTTAGTTCGAACCCAAGATTCGCCTCTGGTTCTTTTCGATGTCTAATTGTTGGGAATCTCCACGAAATGTATTCAATTTGCTATAAAGTGACAACAGTTTTTCCAGCGAGTAAGGACATGGGTGGGTGGGTGTTTTGAGACCCTCATTAATGATTGCGTCCCTTTGTCACTACACGATACGATTATGAGGGGCTTGGTCAGTGGTCTGTCAGCACCTCTCCCTGATCGCGTGTTTCAGCACGGGTAGACGCCTACTATCTGCATCCTTTTCCTCCCACACCAAGCTGACGTGCCATGATATTACTGTAATAACTGTGGAAAGCGGCACTTAACCAAACAGTAATGACTGATTGAAGATATGACGCTACCGTTGATGAGCATAGATGCGGGTTTGTTGTCGTATCCTGCGTGATGGTGGCCGGCAAACCTGTTGATGGTCAGTTCAACAAGCCAGTCATGTACTATCATGGTGTGTTCAGGAAGGTCATGGTCATACAGGTGTGAGGATGGGTCACGTGACGGAGGTTCCCGTATAATCAGCGCCCCGAACAGACCGTCGGAGCGTTGGACGCCAGCATGACCGTGCCAGAAGTGAGTGCCTCGGTTACCGGCCTTGAACCTGCAGGATCACACAAGATGAACAGTTACGGTTATGGAATAACAATAACAAAAACATTAACAACAACAACAACAATAAGAAGAACAAAAATAAATAAATAAATAAATAAATAAATAAATAAATAAATAAATAAATAAATATATGAATGAATGAATAAATAAATAAATAAATAAATAAATAAATAAATAAATAAATAAATAAATAAAATAGTTATGCGCTATGATCCATCCGTTCAAGCATGCTCAAAGGGCTATAATGTACCTATGTATGATAATGACACTTACAGGAAAAATGGAGAATGAGAAATATGGACACAATCTCTGATAACTTTGTGATACATACAAAATGTAACCCCAAACACATTTCGCTTTTATTCCTTGCCTGTTTCTGTCAGTATGTATCGATTTAACAATAGCATCGTGGTTCTATATTGATATTCACGAATGATATTACAAAACTGATCGACAATTACCTGAACATCTAAGTGCAGAGTATCTGTTCCTCAAAACTGACAAGCGTGCAGAGCATGCTTTACTGTGTGAATATTGGCGCTATACAAGTGAATATTTTATTATTATTAATAATAAAAGTATAGTTAACCAGATTACACGGTATCTGGTGCATTACGTTACAACGCACCTGTCCTGGAACTTTGAGTAATCTGACTCTCTACTATAAGACAGGGGTGGATCCAGCAGGTCTCTTGGCCAGAAAATATATATTGTGTACTACGCAACAACGCACCTGTCCTGGAACTTGGAGTAAGCTGACACTCTACTATAAGACAGGGGTGAATCCAGCAAGTCTCTTGACTAGAACATACATATTGTGTACTACGCAACAACGCACCAGCAGGTCTCTTGACTAGAACATATATATTGTGTACTACGCAACAACGTACCTGTACTGGAACTTGGAGTGAGCTGTTATTGGGCACTGGGTTACCATGCTGACACCATCATGATGTTGATAACCTTTCTGGAAGACTCCGTGCCAGTGGATGGTGGTCCCCTCAGAACCTTCCATCTTGTTGTGCACGTTGACAACGACCATGTCGTTCTGACAAACCTTGGGATAAGAGAAACAGTTGGCGTGAACATAACCAACAGAGGTGAACGTTAAAAAACCCTACATAGTTCAATATAACCGTTACTATAGCCTAGTGATCAAAGCTGAGTGTCCTCCCCCATCTTATTGTTTTTATGTTATCTTTCAATACATGTGTTATGTTCCTTATATTTGATATATACTATACGGAATCCCTTTTTCATATAATACTGTTTTTAAAATAGTCGATGTTTAGGCCTTAATTTCCCTCAATTCAGCAGCTCCAGAAACAGCGTATGAATACAGTATTTGAGTGAACCGTCCTTCTTGTCATAAAGTGCCAAATCATTGCAACAACGGCATCGGGAAATCCCTTATATAGACAATAGGAAGTATAGTCAATGGTTTAGTGAGAAAGCAGGCATTGAATCGACGTATGGAGATTAAAAATAGTTCCTGCTTGGTGACCTATTTGCATATTTATCGGATCGTGATGCAAGTTTATCGGATTGGATTATCGCATCAATAACACGATCCATTACATGTTAAACCATAATATAACATAGCTTGTTATTATACCGTACAGATCCACGTGAATATAGCCAAACTGACTAGACGACCTACATATTGTGAGATGTGACACCGCGTATGCAGTTACTGAAAGGGGAGTAACTCTTGACGAGGCTGAATGGTTTCAGTATCGGTAGCCAATGAGTGGCACGTTGAACAAAGACTAGTGCATAGTTTAGTACCCGAATTATTTTGTATGGCATTTTTTACCAGTACGACAACCATGTGTGCTATGTCTCCTCCAGCAGCACCACGGCAAAACAAGCATGGGACGCTGTGGATATATTCTGCCCAGAACCACGACGGGGAAGACAGATATGGGACATTGGATCTATTCTGCCTTGAATCAATTTGGGAAGACGGATATGGTACATTGGATCTATTCTGCCTTGAATCAGTATGGGAAGACAGATACGGGACATTGGATCTATTCTGCCTTGACTCACTATGGGAAGACAAATACGGGACATTGGATCTATTCTGCCTTGACTCACTATGGGAAGACAAATACGGGACATTGGATCTATTCTGCCTTGAATCACTATTGGAAGACGTGCATGTGGGTTTATTCTGCTCTCTGTCCCCACGGTAAGACAAGAATAGCACAGGGTGGATGTATTCTACTCTGTATCCGCACAGGAAGAGGTTTATTCTACCTCCGTTTTATTACGAAATGAATGAGTTGGGTTTAACGCCGCTTCGAACAGTCTTTCAGTTATATTGCGGTGGGTCAGCTTACTGTATGTAGAGCCTCAAGTGGTGCAGATCATTGACGGAGACCAGGTGCTGGAGACCGAACCTCCGAATAGTACATTATATGAAGTTACTCGACTAAGTGACACAACTCTCAGTTGAAGCCTTAGATCATTCCCTTGCTCCCCACGCTGGATACAGCATCTGTCATGTGTATAACAGATCTCGCGAGATTTCCGAAGTTAAGACGCCCGCCTGACTCGCCAGACACGAATGTCAGCATTTAACCCAAATACAAATTGAGCAATCTGAAGGACACACACAATGATTTATGATACCATGACGTCCTTACAGGTATCACAAGCGACTGCTTTTTATGTGACAGGGTGAAAGTGTAAATGTCACTCAAAATGATGCCCTTTCATCTGAATATAGTGACCCCACTATGTGTTAAGCTATCGGAGAACTGGCTAGATGCGGGCGCCGTTTCCTGTATATATTTTGATGCATGTCATCGTATCCCAATTGCGTAGATCGGTGCTCTTGTTGTCAATAACTGGATTGTCTGGTCCAGACTGGATTATTTACGAACCACCGTCATATAGCTGGTATATTGCTGAGTGCGGCGTTAAACAACAAACAAACAAAACACCTTCCAACAATGATAAATTAAACTCATATTTCTATATTTTCTGTTATATTTATAACATAATGTGATTCATAATTTAATTATTGCGTTGCTTTCTTCCCTGTCATTCAATGTACATGTTCAACCCCCTAAACTTTTAATATTTCATTTTTCACAAATGGCTACGTTAGTGAGTTGCCTAGATCTCTCGTTACCTACTCACACGAACAGATTAAAATAATTTGTTTTACTATCATATTTCTATTTATCTAATTCATAATACGAAATTGATAATTCATTTATCACAGTATAGATCATATTCGTTTATATCACTATCTGATGCTAAGGTTTTATTGCAGAAATTATAATTAATTCAAAATGTAGAAAGCTACACAATTTGCCATTATTTGACTTTTAAACTGTACAAAGTATAATAAAATGATCAGAATGCCAGTAACGGGTAGTATTTAAGAAAGAAATATTTGTCGATAAGTCCCATTTTTCAGATATGCCCTTCAGTAGTATTATTGTATATCTCCAAAGAGAGGTTTACATTGTAGTTATCATTATTTGTGGATAATTCAAAAAGCAACATAGAAAATATATATGCTACCATGACGAAAGAATACAGAGTATACTTAACTCGCAATTCTCCAAAAGAGATTTCAAATCACAATAACATATCTGATATAAAGAGAGGTGGTAATGATTTAATCTCTACATTGTGTCCTTGTTCGTGAGCCCTTGACTATTCAGCAAACAGCCCAAAACAGAAACTCCACAACATATCCGATTACACTGATTTAGGCTGTCCCATTTCTCTATGCGATACTGACGCCCGTTCGTCTGATTTAAACATATTTTATTCAGATTGAAATGGATTGGGAACAAGTTATCCAACTTAGGACTCCCTCTCTCGTCTCCCAGACCATAGAGAATAAATTTAAAAGGAATCCAGCTCAAGTCTAGAACGATTTGGCAAGCCTAGATTGCCTCAATTCTATCCATGAAAGTAAGCATTAATAAAAAAATATTGTTCTTGTCTGCTTCAGACTATATTTTGTAGAAACATATTTTTAACTAAGAAAATTGTACTGACACCGGCGCTGTCCCTATTGGAGCTATTTATAAGAATTTCGAATTGTCGTCCATTGTTTGATGTCAATACATCGATGACAAGTGAGGATATCATAAAGTTATCGTTGATGCCGCGCTACACTATAATAAAAATTATAATCAAGTTGACTGGTGTGTACATTACTACAGTGAACATGTACATGATCATGCCCTAATAATCAAATGCCGTAATGTCAAATACTAATATATTATTGTGTGGTGAATTTAATTGGATCAGTGGTAACATGTGATATTAATATTCCATCAATTTCTCTCCTGGTTGGTCCATGTCTACAAAATGAACATAATACAATTAAAATGGAGCCTAGAACAATTCTTAATTTCAGGCTAGGGCTGTGGAAATCTAGACTTTCCCAATCATTATAGACTTGAGTTGGTCTCATTTTTCACATTATTCTCTTGGGTCAACGCCACAGCTCATACCATACACTAACAAGACCAGATTGCCCCCCGCCGGAGCTCCTGGATTTTGGTTATATCATCTTACATGGCCAACTCTGCTCTTAAGTAAACAAGAACCTAATCAGCGAGGGGTCCTTTATCATCCCTATGTGGCTGCTCATAAAAATCTGATATCTCTTCCCAAAGACCTGGTTAATAATATATTTTCTGCTGGATATTCGAAACAGAGTGAGTGAGTTGGTACTACATATGTTTACGGTTCTATTTTAAATGACTGCAGCGCTCCATTATGAAAACAAATTGTTTTAACGCCGCTCTCAGCAGTATTCCAGTGATATATGACGGCGGTCTGTTGTATATGAAATAAATGCAAATTGAATCTTGAATCTTGAAAGTTGTAACATTTCCGCTAATAAGTATCACATGCAGTATACAGTATATCAACTGCAATATACTGTATACAACATTCAGTATACAGTGTGTCGCGAGCTTTGCGCTGGGCTGGAGCACACATTTCCTACCCCTCTCCCTTCGGCAAACACCTCATGAGGATTGCAACGAGGTCACAGGTCAGGCGTGCACTCGTCAGTTGTCTAATGCGATCAAGAGTAGATCTTCCGGAAGACCACTGCACTAGAGGTATGTGGATTGTTGATGAGGTACTACGTGTTTGGAAATGGGAGTCGAACACTAAGCACTTTTAGAGAAGAGCTCACAATAAAACGTTATGGACTCTCGGACGGACTTGTGTTTTCATTTCAAGACTTACATGTATCAGGTTGAACTTCTACGACAGATGTAACTTGGTTACCGCTTTCTAACTGTAACATTAACTAAACTTTACGCCTTTTATACACATTTGTGATGGGGCGACAATGCGACAACGAGACATATTTTGACCTTGAAAATGTCGCGTTACGGCATCGTCGCCCTTTTGTAAAATAAAGAAAAGGATTATTCAAAGAGTGACAATGCAAACCCGCGACAATGCGACAAATGGCCAATTGTCGCGCTTTTGTTAATTTTGACACGTTTTGCTTGTTTTTGTAAGGGCGTCAATGCGACAATGCGACAACGCGACAATGTCCCTTCTATAGTGATCCGTGCAAATAAAACTGAGTTATGAAATGGAAGTCTGACATGCCAATTAAAAGATAAAGTGTTGCAGCTTCTGATTTCATAGATCTTCAAGAAGGATTATCAATAATGGGATGGGTGATGAGTTCAACTGCATGCCGAGTCTATATGTTGTGATTAACAATAATGCTCCGAGTCAATACATTTTGTCAAAATGTATGACATGTATTACGTGAATGAACATATTGTTTATACTCGTCCATGTTTTTGACGGACAATATAATTTACATGCTCGGTAAAAGTGAGGACGGGCATCATTGTGTGTTTCCGTGCTTTGTTCAGGTGAACAATTGACTTGTCCTTGCATGTGTTTGTGACGGGTGTCACTTGTGTGGCAGGATACGCTCACCTTTTCCCGAACACCCGTTGGATGGCCTGAACCAATTCGGATTTTAATCCCACATCAGTCTGTACACCGTGATGTAACTGAAATACTGTAGAGTTGAAAATGGTG